AAGTCCCCTTCCTTTCTCCCCCGCATTGCACGCCTTCTCGGCTTGATGTGGGCGAGCGCCACGCCAACGCTCGTCGGTAATGTAACCGGTTCGTATCGTGCAACTTTGGGGTAAGAAATAGGACTAGGTAGGCACATGTTCACTGTTATGTCGAAACAGAATCGGCCTTGATTGGTGGCAATCATGTTTAAACAAGCATTCTGTCTTGGTTCCGCACAGGTAAGTAGGATCCTGGCCACTGGTTCCTAGCCTGGGGTGTGTTAATACACGGTTTAGCCCAAATACATTTCTTGCCATGGTTGCACTCGGCTGCAGGACTCTCATTTGTCAGGCCTTTGGGGATCATGCATGTGCACCAATGGACCTGGTCTTTTGATCTGCAGCGTGGCACGACATGGCACGGTGCCATGGATGGGATATAAAAGGTGCATATCGCGACGCTCTTTTGTCGTTGCTGTATGCAACCCTCTTGCGACCTCGTGGAAGCTGTGAGGCTGTGGATATAATTCTACAAGTCTCCACACTCGGGACCTCTGAAGGAATCATAGCGACCTCTAACAACGACTCGTGAAAGCCTGCAGCCATGGCGGAACCAGAAAAGGAGACTCACATCTCAGGCGAACAGACTGTCGAGCACAGTCATGACACGGGCGCCGCCGTACAACTTGCCCACGATGTCGACAACACCGCCTATTCTCCATGGACCATGACTATGTTTCGACTATACACATGTCTGATCATTGCGTACCTGTGCGGCTGTCTCAATGGCTATGATGGATCTCTGATGGGTGGCTTGAACGGAATGACCTCTTACCAAAAATACTTTCACATGTATGTGAATATGAAGTCTCGGGACTCTTTGCAGCTGTATATTGTCCCTCATTTCATGAAGCAAACTAACAGCACTATAGGACTGTGGCAGGCTCTAGTACTGGTCTTGTCTTTGCAATGTACAACATTGGATCAGTCGCTGCCGTTTTCTTCACTGGGCCTACAAATGACTATCTTGGCCGGAGAGCTGGCATGTTCGCTGGCGCGCTCATTGTAATCATTGGGACTTGCATCCAAGCGCCATCGACATCACATGCCATGTTTCTAGGCGGTCGTTTTGTAAGTTTCAGGACCTCACTTCGCAACTTTGAAGCCGCAATTCCGTTCAACTAATACAAACTCAATTATAGGTTTTGGGTTTCGGCGTCTCCTTCTGCTGTGTCAGTGCGCCTTGCTACGTCAGCGAAATGGGTATGTGATTAACTAATTCTATGAATAACCATTTTCTAACAACGAATCAAAAGCACATCCCAAGTGGCGAGGCACCATTACCGGTCTATACAACTGCACGTGGTACATTGGATCCATTGTGGCCAGCTGGGTCGTCTACAGCTGCAGCTATTTGGAACGAGCAGACGCATGGCGAATTCCGATCTGGTGCCAGATGATCACCTCGGGCATCGTGGTCGTGGGCGTCTGGTTTCTTCCCGAGTCTCCGCGCTGGCTCATGGCCCGCGACCGGTTTGACGAGGCCGCCCGGGTCCTGGCCAAGTATCACGGCGACAATGATACGTCGCACCCCATCGTGCAACTGCAGCTCAAGGAGATGAGCCAGCAGGTAAAGACCGATGCCAGTGACAAGAAGTGGTGGGACTACCACGAGCTCTGGGACTCGCACTCCGCCAGGCGCCGTCTCATTTGTGTCCTCGGCATGGCTTGCTTCGGTCAGATCTCTGGTAACAGCTTGAGCAGCTATTATATGGCGGCTATGCTCAAGTCGGCTGGTATCACCGAAGAACACCGAGTTCTTGCACTGAATGCCATCAACCCCGTCCTGTGTTTCCTCGGTGCCATCCTGGGCGCTCGCATGACTGACGTGGTGGGAAGAAGGTATGTCTGCAATATTCCTGAACCATGAATGTACGCCATGACTCATGCTAATGATGGACAGACCATTGTTGATTTATACTACTATTTTCTGTTCCGTCTGTTTCGCCATCATCACTGGGACATCCAAACTCGCAACGGACGACCCCAGCCAGGTTACCGCAGCCAACACTACCGTGGCATTTATCTTCATTTTTGGCATCGTCTTCTCGTTTGACTGGACCCCGCTGCAGAGCATGTACATTGCCGAGACGCTTCCCACTGCCACGCGAGCCAAGGGAACGGCCGTGGGCAACTTTGCCAGCAGCGCCGCCAGCACCGTGCTCCAATACGCCAGCGGACCGGCCTTTGAGGGTATTGGTTACTACTTTTACCTCGTCTTTGTCTTTTGGGATCTCATCGAGGTTGGCATCATCTATCTGTTCTTCCCCGAGACCAAGGACCGGACCTTGGAGGAGCTGGCCGAGGTCTTTGAGGCCCCCAACCCCGTCAAGAAGAGCTTGGAGAAGAGAAGCGCCGAGACTGTCTTGCGGACTCTGCATATCGAAGCTGATGAAAAGGCCTATGCGTAGGACATTGGAATCGCGTAGTGAACCGAGACAAGGATATGTTGGGAGACTAATTTAACAACTTGTTCGTGTCTTTTATTACTGATTGGTACAATGTCGCTTGAGCATTCTCAGACACCGGGTTCATCTCAAATATTCTATTCATAATCATCAAAATCCGTGGATTTAATAAGCCATCACTTCCAAGTAGATGAATGAACTGTCAGGGCTGACTCTGCGCCATTTATATCACAGCCATATGGACCTGTAGTCCACTATCGGTTTCCCACGTAACTGGCACGCCAGGTGCAACGTAGTAGATGAATCCCTCTTCCAGCTTGTGGACTTGGCCATCGGCTTTCATGATGCCCTTTCCAGAGGTGACAATCAAGACGCCCGGGCCTTCGCTTCCAGACACTTCGTCCTTCTCGCCAGCCTCGAGATCAGTCTTGAGCATGTCAAACTCGCTCAGTGCGGGCTTATAGACGACCGTCTTTCCGTGTTTGCTCTTTTCGTATTTTTGACTAGGCAGAATCACGTCGTCCTTGCTGTGCGCCTTGAAGGTCAGAGTCTCGGCAAACATGTCAATGCTGTTGCGGTCGGCCGGGGGGCAAAAGCCCGTGTTGAGGACATTGTTGGACCGGGCCATGCACTCGACAATGTCGCCCGACAGGTAGGCGTGGATGCCGTCGGCGGGGATGTAGACGGCGTCGCCGGCGTCAAAGACTAGGAAGTTCATGAGCAGCAGCGCCACCAGGTTGCCGGCGTCGTCGCGGCCGTACTGGTCCTGCAGGCGAGGGAGCAGGTCTAGAATGTACGCCGCGTCGCCGAGATCTGACCGGGGAACCTGCGCGAGCTGATCCTGGACCTTTTGTACCTCGTCGAGATCTGTCTTGAGAATGGTCCGCGTTACATTTCGCAGAGTTTCGTCGTTCCAGCTCCCCGTGTTGGCAGGCACAAAGTGTTGAAGAGGCTTCAGCTTGAACAGCGGCTCGATCTGCGTGAGCGGCTTGAACCCAGCAAACAGCTCAAACTTTGACAGTGCCACTGCTATTTCAGGCTTGTGGTTTGGGTCTGTAAAGTTTTCAGGATCCTTTTTGTGCAGCTTGGTTGCCAGTTCCTTGTTTGGATGCAGCTGCAGAGGCAGAGCCTTGGCAATGGATAGAATCTGTCAATGGGAAGTCAGTGGCATAGTTCTGACTTGGTGACACGGGGGTTCTCACCTTTGGCAGGAAGGGTAGCTGGGCGTCATAATGTTGAATGACCTTCTGTCCTAGGAGCTGCTCCTTGTTGGCATCGATCACATCCTTGAGCAGCTCGCCTGTGTCGAGTTTGCGGGCTGGGAAATCCGGATAATCACCAAACCACATTTCCGAGTAAAACTCATCGTCTTTTACGCTAAATTCAATGCCTGGAGTTTTGGCACATAGTTGAGCGGCGAGAGACTGCTTTCCCTTCTTGCCCCAGGGATAATTGTTGCAGGTACCGCTCAATTGGAAGACAGATGGCGCCATGATTTTTTTCTAGTAATGTTTGAGATATCAGTATCCTTGAATAACGGGTCTTCTGGTGGACGTGAAATTATTGTTTTCGAATGTTTTGTCGATTGTAGTGAATTTTGCTAAATTTACAAGGTAATTTAACATCGAAATTCCACATCTCGCCCTCTTCTGCTCAGTGAGTGATCATTCACGATCATTACATCGCGATGCCGTAATGACCACATGGCGTCATAGACCATTTTGGCTGGAGTAGTTGCTCCGTACAAGCCGCTGCGTGTGAGAAGAGAATTGTGGAGTTTCCCAAGGACTGAGCAGTATTTATAAGCAGAGGGTGGGCGGCGAGGATGGGGTATTATATAGACCCGTGCCTCTGCTGCATCAGAGAGTCAACTCAAGTCCTCGTCTGTTCCCAATGCGGTTCAATTCAGCCGGGGCATCATCCGCATTGGCACAGCGCTGATGTCAACTTCGTGATGCGCGTTCAGCCCCATCCGTTTCTTCTCCTTCTGACATAATTGGTAACGCGCTATGCTGAGATTCATCGGCGATAAGAACCGGAATCCTGCCCAAAAATGATCGCCCTGGGCAAGCCCCGCCCGCTGCTTTGGTACGATGAACCAAGATTGGAACATTGACCTCCCAGCAAACCAGGAATGATTTGAGGCTATCGAGTTCTAGCCCAGCTGTCAAATCTCCAGATATTACCGAAACAAGTCTCCTTGGGGCCAGGGGTAGTGAACTCAATCGTCTCGATCGTTCCAAATCGATGCATCACAGTTAACTGTGAAGGCTTTCTTGAGTTTAGCCAAGTTCCCCCTGTTGCCTATCCGGGGCACGTCATTTCCACGATGCGACCGTCGAGCTGAACGCGCTAGGGCAACTTTAGCGCACCCGTTCGGCGCATTTAGGCCTATAGATTGTCAACTGCAGTTTCCCTTTCCCACAGACATTGCTGAGCCATAGACGTCATTGTAGCATAGTAGCTGAAACAACCCACGCAAAACGACGTGGCCCATCGCAACCATGCGGATTTTCTTGGAAATCAATGATTCAGACCATGGCATGCGCGGGACGGGATGGCATTGCGTATAGCCAGTGGAGAGGACATTTCAAGTCCTCGTCGCGCTCCTCTCCGCTCTCATCTAGTCGTGATTTTGTAATTCTTCTTCATTTCCATCGATCGTGCAACGGCGACCGCTTGGCACCATGACATTCCAACCAGATAGAAGAGAGGACGAGGAGTCTAGTCTGATTCCTCCCACTTCACAGGAGCCATCGGGCACAACAATCACAGACTTTTTGCCTATCCCTGATGTCCAGCAAATAACGGATCCAGACCAAGAATCAAAGGCCAACCACCTCACCGACGAGCCCACACTCTCGCACGCACTGGCAACTGACGACCACGAGGAAAAGGGTGCTGCTCAGATGGACCATGACCATGAGGATGTTGCCGATCTCGGTTGGCACAAGAAGAAGGATGGCATGCCCGATCCTTTGGTCGGCGGGCTTGACAATGAGGAGCTGTGGCTGCTGATGAGACGTTTCAATAAGCAGATGTACCACGTCAAGGAGGTCCCGAATGCCGTTCCCGGAAATCTCGACCTCAACATCTCTGATGATGAGGAGTTCTCACCAGACAAACTGCGAGCAAACATTGAGCGACTGTACATGACGGTCATAATCGGGTTGCTGGCGACAGTCAAGCACATAGCGTGTCTTCGCTCGTGGCGTGAAACCAGGAGAACGACTGCGTTTTGCGCAGTAAGTACCAACACCACTGGCCTAGTTGCAGCGCTAACGAATTCAATCAGGCCTACACGATCGCCTGGGCTTTTGATTTCGTCGTCCCTCTCATTGTCGTTACTCTAATTACGCTCATTGTATACCCGCCGTCTAGAAGCATCTTGTTCCCGCCTGCTCCTATTGCCTTGGTCGACAATACAACCGGAGGTGTCCAGAAGCCAAAAGCTGGTGTACTTGGAAGTCATGATTCTGCCACGGGTGGTACGTATCCAAAATATTACGTGTTGCGACCCAGTTATTCTTTTCAAAGAATCTGGTTCCACGATTCCACTGGGTTGAAGAGAGCAATAAGCTAACATACTTTCATCCAGCTCCTGAAAATCACAAGGGCGAAGCAGTCGAGCAGGAAGCCAGCAACTTCTTCAATGGAATCACTTCTGTTGTCCTAACTGGCGCCACCGGAAAACACCCGCAAGGCGATCCCACCTCTGACGAGAACGAGCCTGGAGATGGGGTGCCCGATCCTTCTAGCATTGCCGTCCATGCAGCGGACGCAAAAGATGTAGCCGCTGGAGGCAAACCATCAGCTAAGCATGACAAGACCAAGGTTCCCGTGGAGAACGCCATGTGGACCAAGATGCGTCCCGTGATGCATGGTAAGTTTTTTTTAGGACCCTGGTATTGACCACAAGACTGATCAAAAGCAGGAATCGCCGATGTTTCAGACACCTGGGAGAGGTTCGGTAACGCGCTCTCGCCGACGACTCCCTTTCCCAGAGATGTTTATCGCCTCAGACTTGCAGCTCTCGTTGCGCCCCTACTTCTTGTCTCGTTCTTTGTCACGTCTTACATGTTCATGAAGGGCGTTACTTTTGGTGTTGGATTTGGTTTCTTTGGCGATCCCATCATCACTCGCGGAATCGCGCTCCTTAATCGCAAATTCCCCCACTGGCAGAAGCTATTGGAACTCCGTAACACAGTTCTCAAAGGCGTACCGACCAATGCTCAGCTCACACTCACCCTTCTCCGCATTGGCGAGGCAAACAAGGCTCCTCTCCCGCCGGCGCCACGCCTTCAGCAAGCCCCACCTGAAAAGCCAGCAGATGTCACGGATGCAGAATTGCGTGCAACAGGCGCAGAGCCCCCTCTGAATGCCACGGAAGATGAACTGAACGAAGCCATGCAACATGACCCGTCTGTGCCACATGAGACTGGAGGCGAAGACATTGACGCGGCCAAGACACCAAAGCATGGAAAGAAGGGCAGCAAGCTGCTTGGTTTCTTCAGAGGTACCGTCAAGGGGGCAGTCAAGACTTCAATGGGTGCCGACAAGGTCAGGGCCAAGGCAGGCTCTCATCATGCCAAGGACCGATTGGGAGCAGCACCTCGTCCAGACATTAGTCTCTTGTCCGGGCCTGTCAACTTCAAGGCCCGTTTTAATGGCAAGGAAGGCCACGTTTACATAACAACAAAAGCCACTATCCCGGCTGTTGCTTTCAGCACTGACAGCACAATTGAAAAGATTGGCACCGAGGACAGAGAAGATTTGCATCCATTGTGGAGCATTCCTGTCGCGGATATCAAAGAACTGAAAAAGACTGGCGGTTATGGCTGGAAAGCCAAGCTTGTTGTTGGCTGGTCTCTGCGTAGAGAGGTAGCCGACGCATTGGAAATAATAGACAGGACAGGACAAATGTGGAAGGTTACCGCATTGCCGCTGAGAGATGAGCTGTTCAACAGGCTGATTGCCATGGGAGGACAGAAGTGGGAGGCTTGGTAAGGATGTATGCTTTTAACGCAGGTTCATTGCAACAATCCATTGACTATTGTCTAGCTCCCGGCCATGGTTAGTCGGTTGAGCGACCATGTACACATATATGTATTGAATTATAACGACGAATACGATGTTTTTTTATCCTCTGACGAGTCTCACGACCCTTGAATAATGTGGAATATGGGTATACACGAATTGAGAATCATAATAAATAAATACAATAAAATACAATAAATGCACATTGCGATAACATCATCTTCGTGAGGCCATTCGTCAATCATGCAGCTCCTCAGCTTCTGCGCTAGACATGAAATACATAAATAGTGAACCAGCTATTGAATCCGGCCGGCAACAAACCGAAATCGGCAGGCAATTCGGTCTCCACTTCGGAAGCGCTTACCGACGGGCTCAACGGGACCCCCGATTGTACGTCCGATACCCGCAGACATCAAGAGTATTCCCACATATTATCTGTACATCACTTTAGAGAACCCATCACCGACCGTCGTTTTGTCATTCTACGCACACAATCTGATAGTCGACATGGCCGCCTCACTGGAATCACACTCCCAAGCCGCCTCGTACGCCCAGAGCGGCTACGGCAACCGCATGGGCTGGGGCGACCGACCAGTCCTGGTGCTGATTGATGTGTGCAAGGCGTACTGGACGCCCGGGTCGCCGCTCGACTGCAGCGCGCACGAGCCGACGACGCGGGCGCCGCAGGTGATGCGCGAGCTGCTGGCGGCGGCGCGGGCGTCGGGGTCGCCCGTGGTCTGGACCGCCGTCGAGTACACGGACCCCGAGATGCGCGACGCGGGACTGTTTTGGCTCAAGTCCAAGACGCTCAATGTGTGGAACGTCGAGGACCGCCGGGGCCTGGGCGACTGGGTCGAGGGCCTGGTGCCCGGCCGCGGCGAGCTGGTCATCAAGAAAAAGTACGCCAGTGCCTTTTTTGGCACGTCGCTCGCTACCGATCTCCGCGTCATGGGCGCTGATACCGTGGTCCTTTGCGGTGTGAGTACGAGTGGTTGTGTCAGGGCTAGTACGCTGGATGCTATGCAAAATGGGTTTAGACCAATGGTGCGTAATTCTTTTTGCTTCTTATTCAAGACTCTCTTTTCACTGACTCGAGGACGCAATAGGTGGTGGGATCTGCATGCGGTGATCGAAGTGACGAAATCCAGAATGCCAATCTTTTTGATCTCAACGCCAAGTACGCAGACGTTGTCACTGATACAGAGGCAATCGAACACCTCAAGACGGGTTGGCCAAAGTCTTGACCGCTAGCACTGGATGAATAAGAGCAAAAAATTTGATTAATTGTTAGTGGAATATCTTTGTGAAGCGGAACCGGTTGAATTCTACGTCTTTTCTTTATAAATTTACAACGATGGGCAATAGAGACCAGAACCTATTAACGACGAATTATAAATCATGATCCGTATATCACGCAATCATTAAAAACCAAATTACCTCCTCTTTCTCTATGTCATCTAGGAAACCACCTTGTTGCAAAAAGCCCGGAGCGAAGCGGCATTCATGATGTCGAGGGTGGTAATGAGTGCTCCAAACTCTTGACGAATTCAGTTCCGTATCTCCACTGCAGCCAGGGAATCAATTCCATAAACACCAAACGGTCTATCTGGATCCATGGTTTCAGAGAGCCGCAGGATCTTCATGAAACCTTGGTTGACTGCCTCAATTGCTGCTGCTAGCACATCTGACGGCTCAGCTGACTTGGACTTGACAAGCAACATGAGTGCACGTGTGGCCACGCTGCCGCGAGCATCTGCTGTACGCTCATGCATGGACTTGTCCGTCTTGTCCGTAAACAAGGCAGCCATGCGCGCATCTGTGGCTAGGAGCGAATCTGCAGGTTGTGGTGTTCTTACACCGGTAATCATGGGTGTTGCGATCGGCATGGTCCCTGGCGAGCCTTGGCTTTGTTGTAGGATGGACAAGTCAATGATCTTGAACAGCAAAGGATCATTGATGCTGTGGAATACGCACTGGTCACAGTGCTTATCTATGAAACCATCATGATCGGCGAGGAATCCAGCATCTTCAATGATTCCAAGGTTGATGGAGCAAGAGGGCAGACCTAGATGCCGACGGTAGGCAGCAAAGGAGTCCATGAAGGTATTCGCCGCCGCGTAGTTTGCTTGACCTCTGGTTCCCACAAGTCCGCTGATACTCGAAAGCATGGTGAAAAAGTCGAGATCAAGGTTCAAGTCTTCAGCAGCCCGGTGTAGGTTCCAAGTTCCTTCAATTTTGCACGCCGTCGCTTCGCGGTACTCGGTAATGTTCATGGCGTCAAAAGGGCGATCCTAAGTTGCGAGATCAGAGCTATACTTCCGAAAAATGGAAAACTCGAGGAAGGCGGCTTACTCGTAACACCATGGCACCTTGGATAATTCCAACAATAGGCATCGTTGTTTGGCCAAAGGCCAGCTTGACCTGACCTTGATCTGTTACATCCGCTGTCAGAAGGTCAATCTTCGCACCAAGCTCGTTGATGTGCTTGATCACGCGTTGCGACTTGTCATCGCTGTATCCGCTGCGCGAAATGACTGTCAGATTTGCGGCACCGACCCTGGCCAAATGGATGGCTAGAGAGCCACACAGTCCTCTAAGGCCGCCCACAATCAGGTAGCAGCCATATGCCCGCAGCCGAATGACTGGTGGAGCTCTGCGAACCTGCAGATCATGTGTTAACATGTATGGTAAAGTAAAATAGAGGTTTTTCTGAGAGTCATATTGCGTGAGGCCTACCAAGACTTTGCTGCTTGCGCTCGATTTGCACGAAAGTACAGCTTTACCAATATGCTTGCCTGCTCGTACGAATCGAATGACCGAAGATAGATCATCAAAGCCAAAGGGGTGGATAGGATTAATGGGTTTCACATGTCCGCCCTCGATGAATTTAAATAATTTTGATAAAAGCCTGGCGGAAGGATTGGCATGATGACTTTCCACTGCGTGAGCTGCGATGCCAATCTGGATGACACATATGTACTAACTGGGCAACTAGAGGTTCTGGCGTTCTCTCATACGACATGTCGACGGCCCTGAACGATATGTTTCGATCAAAAGGCTCCATGGGCAGGCTGTTTCGAGCAAGGACTGTTGCTCATAGTGTCAGTCTCACCTGCGCTCTATATAGCACTCATGCTACAAACACTTCTGCAACGTGAATTCACTGTCTTTCTTGCCTAGTTCAATCATTATACCACCATCTGCCAAGGTGCGGAACGATATTTCAAGCATATCGCCAGTGAGTGAGTTCGGAATTACGTCAACTCCGCGACCGCCAGTGGCAGTCATGATTTCTTCAGCAAAGCTTGTACTGCGGCAATCGAATATTCGGTCTTCTGTCAGACCAAAGGTTTCCTTGAGGAACTGCCGCTTTTCGATTGTGCCGACCGTAGCAAAGATCTGTACACGATTGTTAGCAGCTCTGGGGTTGACATGGTGGGCGAAACACAGGCCTCGGCGCCAGCGTATGTAGCTAGTTGAACTGCTGCGATTCCAACGCCACCTGTGGCAGAGTGAACCAAGACTCGACTTCTGGCATGGATGTTGCTGAGGTTAAAGAGGGAGTGAATTGTAGTCATGTAGACGATGGGCAGTGCACGCGCGTGGCTGTCGCATGGACTCTATTCGCCATGCATCCCCGGCCATACACGACCACCCGATCACCAATCTTCAGGTCAGAAACTTCCGGCGATATGTTCGTCACAACACCAGCAGCTTCACCGCCCAGCATTCGCTCGTCGCCTGGCACGAGTTCCATTGTCACAACCACGTCCTTGTAATTGACTCCGGCCGCATGGACCTGGACTTCGACCATTCCTTCGGCCAGTGTCTTGGGCTGCGTTGGGACCTCACTCCAATGGGCAGAATCCACACTTTCGACTTTTTCTATACCAAGACGAAACATTGAGTGCAGACGATATCGCAGCCGCGGAACCCTCGCTATCGGGATCATCCACGTCAAGAGTCATGAACTGCAAGCCTTCCTCGGCACGTATACTCCGGAACAGTCCGCTCACAGCACCTTCATATGGCCTGTTCACACCATCATACTGAGATCTTGTGGTTATCCACAAGACCTTGCAGCGCCTTTGTACCAGTTGCTTCACGAGTCCCCCCTGGCGGTCATGAGGAGTTGAGAGAATTGGGCGAAAGAGCTCCTCGGTGATCAAGACTGAGGTCAAGCTTCGCGACGCTGCGGCACTGGATGCGCTCATCGTCGAACCGAACCTACTTAGTATCCTCGGGACCTGCCGGTCGACAAGACGACGTTGAGGGCCTCAAGGCTTCCCATGGCGTCGTCCGCGAGATCGGCACCCCGGCGACAAACGAGTCGTCCGAAATTGCCATAAATAGGCTTTGGTCGTCGTATGCAACAGCCTCTCCTAATACAGATCCAGGCTTCGGTCACCACCCAGATCATGGCGCAGCAGGAGGTAACAAGACAGTGGAGGTTGAGGCCAGCAGTGCGCGCAGGAGTCAGTCGAGCTACAGCGCCGGAGAGGAAAGGCTGAATGCATACCACCCATGGGACGCGGATACTCGCAGGTAGCATCATGGCTTACACCTAAGGTAAGTAGACGTCATGTCAAATTGTCGGCCATTACATATTACCACTGTAGATGGAAAGTCATTATCAAGAGCGTGAACTCATCGCAAAAAGTACATAATGCCAACATGACGAACGTAAAGTGCCCAAATTTCCCTGTCATTGGTTTGCACCTGGTCAATAGCCAACCAGCTGGGAATTTATACTTAAGACAAGGTTGTGGCCATCCGGGGTCCTGGATGATTGTAGATTGTAGGCCTTTCTCCAAGCCGGTACGATAGGTCAGCTAGATGCGCCACTTTGGGCAAATGCAACGTCTTGGCTGGAACTTTTAATACTTTACTTAACCGAGAACCTCCTCGACTGGTGCTAGGCCTCCTTACTTGGCCATTAGGGGAGACATCCGAAGGGCCGAAATTTTCTTTGCATGGCTGACTGTAATATCACTTGTTCCAACCACAGAGGTGCATGCATCGGTAGCTTCATTAGATACATAATAATGCGCTCGTCATGTTGGTTGACGCTGGCCCCATACCGGCTGTAATGACATTCTGTTTCTATGACCTCACATCTCTCCCAGACGCGCGGGGTTTCACTCCAACCCCAATATGACCTGGTGCATGAGTACAGAACAGGCGTATCTGAAGAGGCCCAGGACCAAGATGGAGCACAAGATGCCCCATGTACGTCGTCACGATCGACCGGGTCAGGCAACCGTGCAACGGGGATATCGATATACCAAGCCAGGTCGAAATGAAGTTCCTTTTTCCAAAGCCCGGCCAGATATTCCTCGCAATTGTCTTCCCGGTATAGTGTTTCCCGGTATAATGCATGAAGGGTCATTCCGGCCAGTCCTGCCACCGCGGCCAGTTTGTCGCGGCGATAAGAGAGAGTGCGTCGGGAGTATCTGGTGACCAACTGCCGCCACACCTCGCGTGTTTTGGACATGGTTGTCGAAGCATATTGATCATAATGGGTACCCAGTAGCCATAAAAGCTTTCGATCTGGGCCGCCGTCCAACGCATTTTCTGCCTTTGCTCTCTGCTTGAGTGTCACTGTCAAGTTCTGATTCTTTAGGAAACCACCGAGCTCGGCAAAGTTGAACTCATCCGAAAGATTACGCCTGTTCCGAGAAGGCCAGAGTTGATGCCCACACTCACATATTTTACGACATAGACACTCCCAGCTCATCTCCGCCCCATTGAAACAGAGGCGTCGATTGGGGAGTATCTCTTCCTGCAGGCACCAACCTCGGCTATTCAATGAGAAATCGCCTTCTATCCATTGATTACCGCTCTTGAGCTTCTCAAAATCTGGCCGCCGTCCTGGAGTGCTAAAATCCTGCTGACCGAGGAAGCCTGATTCGCAACTTGCTGGCTCCAGTGCGGCAATGGTCAGGTGGGAGTTGAAATACGTGCGGTCCATTTCGGCCGAGGCGACAAACCACTCATTGTCATCATGTTGAAGGATGCACAGCGAATCTACCCAAAGATAAGGAATGTTCAGGCGTCTGCAAACTTTGACAGCATCTTGCACACTCTTCGGTATGCGGTCGAAAGGAATGGCAGAAAAATGTTCTTCGATATTGTCTTTGGTCGTGCGAAGAACTTTGTCCGCGTTGGGTCCCCAGCAGTAGCTCAAGCACGCATATGTCATCGGCTCAGTGGGCTCCACTAAGAAGGGATCTTTTGCTTCGTCTCCGAGGTTGACATTGACCAAACGTCTCGGCCAAAAGTCCTTGGGATTGGGCGGCTTGCAATACCCATCGTGCTCCACGCAATAGGAGAGCCACTCCGAAGCGCGAGCAAATGCAGCTGGAGTAGAAGAATTTTCGCAGACTTGAGGATATCCATGTGGACTGATCCAAACAGGCACATTAGGCTTGATACTTGGGTCACCTGTCCACAATATCAGCAAATTTAATCAGAGCAACCCCCACCCCCTTCTCTCTTTGGGGCAAAAAAAAAAAGGAAGAAAAAAAGACTAAACTTGCCCTCAGATATTATGCCATGAGATCTTTGGGGAATATCCTGCATGGCTTCTTTAAAGAATGAATCATCGAACCTGATAGACCGAGATGAACATCAGCTGAGCCTGCGAAGCTGTAGGCAGTGATCCACCTGATCTTCGCTACAGTCTATCCACAGCTACCGACCTAACCTAGTTGATACCTAGGACCCAGGAGTCAAGAGTTGAGCTCGTCTTTCAAGATTGGCACAAGGAATTTTTGGTCGCCACGAGACAAGCGTTCAGAGCAATGTAGCTTATCTGGTAAATGCACACTTGGCAGAAAGAGATGTGTGGGAAGTCTTGGCTGAGCTGGTGTGAAGCAGAAGATGTGGACGAAAGAATTTACAAAGCGTCAGAGCTGATTCTATAAAGCTGCAACGGAGAGGTGCTAGAAAGTTATCTAATACACATACGTAGTAGGCGATCTGCGGTGTGTGCTGTCTAGATCAGCGGATACAGCAGACAAGAGGGCTTCTGCACCAATCGAGAGCGTTCCTTTGCTCAAGGCCTTTCCCATTTTGGGTGCAAAGCTGGAGTTTTCTCTCTCGCTAAATATCACCAACAGCCCGGGAAACAGAGCAGGCGCATATTTTGGTACCTATGTACCTATGCAGCATTGTCACGTACCTATACAGAGCTGAACCTGTATTACGTACTATAAATGGCAAGGGCCTGCGAGCTGTCACCCGAGAGAAGTCCGATCAACCGAATAGCCTTACATGAATGATGCTTTGTAGTTATGCGCACCTATTTCGACTCACAAGCTCATCTAGGAACTTTAAGGGTAGACGTGTGGGTATCAGAGACACCGCGGACAATAGGTAGGTAAGACAAATTGATTGGCACGATATTTACAGTGAAATTATCACCAAGATTGTGTAGCATCTTCATTACCGGTCCCTTCTGCTCGTTGTCTGGACCGGACCACGTTATCTTCTATCGAGCTATCGATCAGCGACTCGCTTCTCAATCAATCGGAATGGAACATATAATACGGCAGTGACAACAATGGCCAATTCAAATCCAATGTCACCGGCTTGCTCCGCAATTGGACCTGTGAACCACACTTGGGCCATGCTAGGAATAACCAGGCCAAAGCTCAAGACGCTTGCCGCCAGAGCCGCAACACCCCAAGGGAGCTTAGAGGCCGAATTCCAAGCATCTTGGTCATAGGTGCTGTACTGACCGCGGCGAATAACGACATGCTCCGTGATCAGGACGGCGACAAACGCAGCGCTCCAGTAGCCGATCAAGGCGATAAAGTTCTCGAGGCTAGAGAAAAAGTCGAGAGCCGCCTTGATACTGACGGGGATGACAATGGCCGTGATGATGACGGAGAAGACGTAGCGCGGGACGACGACGAGCTGCGGGACCAGCATCTGGAAGTTGAGCGTGATGGAGTACATGGTGGCGGAAATGTTGCCGAGCATGGTAAAGGACAGGACGACGACGACGAATTTGCCGAAACCGCCGGCCGGAGTCAGCATCGCAGCTAGTACACCACCGACAGAGGTCGAGTCGTAGCCTTCGGCCCACTCGGGAATGTTGCCAATGGCACCACCAATGGCAGCGCCTAGGATCATCAATGGTACCGTCGGAATGATGCAGCCAGCGTATCCGTAGAGAAATAGTCGGACACTAATAGGCCATGTTAGTATCACTCGTAAATCCTTTGGAAAGGCCGTCACCTACGAAGAGAACTTGGGATTCAAGTACGTGGTAAAGTCTGAAGACAGACACGCATACGGAATCATGTACGAAGCGACAATCATTCCAAAAGAGAGAATGGCGGCAGGGGTGGCGGGCTCCGTGGCAACCTGCTCCTTGAGCTTGGAACCTCCACAGCCCGTCGTAATGACAATGGCAATGAGCGCGGGGATCCAGGCAAAGCGCTCGTACGCGTGAAGGACTTTGTATCCGCAAAACGAGATGGCGAGAGACAGCAACCCGACAATGACGATACCGACTGCTGCCGACATTGTTCCGCCCGTGACAGCAGACAAACACTGGCCGCCGACCACGCAGATGATGACGCAGAAGCCCGTCAGGGTAGCCAGGTTGAGAATGACGGGGACGGAAACGAGATATCTTCCAAAGCTGTAGCGGGCTTGAATCATCTGTCTCAAGCCAGTGTTGGGTCCGAGGATGCCGAGGTAGGAGGGAAAAGTGGCCGTCAACAAGGCAAAGAAGAGAATGACCAATGCGCAGTCGCGAACACTGAGCATGTACGCGGTCGTGCCGAGCATGCCAAACGTGATACTTGTTTCTGCATGTTAGATTCTTTCTCTTGTCTGCTGTCCAAATGTCGAGCAATGACTTACGGCAAGAGGTTGATATTCATACAGAACCAAATAGAAAAGTAGCTGCTGTAATTTGTTGATGTGCGCTCCTCGAGAGGTACGGGCATGACACCGCGAGCCTCGACGGAACTAGCAACCAGGCGATCCAAGAATCTCCATTTGCGAGCTGGCTTAGTAGAGGCCGTCTCAATGTCGACATTGTGTGTTTCAGCGTTCATCTTTTCCATGTCTGCTGGCTTGGAAGCCTGGTCCAGGTTCGATTGTGACTCGACGACCATGATGAGTGTTGCTGCGACTGTTTCTTTCAAACAATGCTGTTTCCGCGAATCTTGCACAAAACGAAACGGGCCGCTTGCACTACCAATGCAAGAGGACCGGACTGATATAAGACACCCAGAACGATCTGGGGTAGTATGCGCTCTAGACTCCACCTATAATCGTGAAAAGATGAAGATGCCTGCCGGATCGTTCTTGTTATCTTCGTAGACAAGCAGGGGCGGGTTGAGAGGCAGAAGATAAGGCTAAACGCTAGTCTTGGCCAGATCAAATGCGCACGCCGTTATAGGCCTGGTAACGATGGGGATCGTGGACCTGAGCTGAGAGAGTGAAAGAGGGTAATGTGGAGCCCCCCGTGGAGAGAGAATGAGTATTGAAATGGACGGTTGAAAAGATTGAAGAACAGCAAATTGTGATGAATACGACAGCCAGAGTCCATTTCTGTCCGGTATCGAGATTTTTCTTCCCTCCCCTTCTCCTTGGCCTGCCATAGAAGCGCTAGGTCGCCAAGTCGCATCGGTTATGTCGACCTAAATGAGGGAGTGTGGCGACTTTGTCCTTCATATCTTTTTTTTTTAACCTTGGGTCTGGTGCTCTCAGACTTCATTGAGTCGCTCATCTCCCTGGGCAAGGCGTTGGAATCAGTGCTAAAGGTCCAGTCTAGCTTGAAGTGGTATAGAATATGAAAATGCCCCGGATAGGGTCGCTCTGGCTAAATGACCCGCATCTGGTTGCCCTTCTTGTTCGACTTCCAAGAACTTCTTCTGCAGATACTACATACGTAGGTCAACTGGGGGACGATGTTGACGTTGGTGGTCAGCTCTGCACATGTGAGCACCAAGAAAAAAAAACATGTGGACGAGGGTCGCAGTTTGTGCCACTTCTGTCAATTAGTGCATTACCGACACGCTGGTAATCATGCAGCAGCCCGCTGAAGTGTACCGAAACACGGTCAGCGGTAGCGTTTGTACCCAGGTTAGTACCTAGATAACGTTCAAGGATCCGATAAGCTTCAAGGTTTGTCTGTAATCTCCAAATTTCGTGCAGTACAACGGTATATTCGTACAAGGATTGTGTCTATTTTCCGAACTATTTTCTGCAGCGGCAAATGTGGCAGCATAACACTGCTGATATCGTGCCGGGTCCTGAAAGATTGTGAAAGACCATTTTTGCCGGATTGCATGCCACCGGCCACTGCCACAACCTCTCCGGCATTCTTGAGTGAACATCTTCCAATTGCCAAGAAGACAATCGTCACGTATATCCACTATTTATATGGTCTGTGTAGTGAAGCTCTTATTCTGGCCATCATCGGCGTCAGCTCCGAAAAGCCCACGTAGGACCTCCGACAGCCCCCCCCCCTGGCCCGTTCCGTCGGCCCTCGGATCGCACCCAACCAATCCTTTTGGCTGATCGTTGGGCTTCTATACGGAAATAGAATGTCTCCTTGATGGGAATAAGGGCAAAACGTCAAAAACGGTAGCGGCCGCCATTAGGCCTGGGCGCAATGGCGCAAAATTTCTGTCTCCGGAAGCCGGAGCCGCAACACCATAGTTAGTACATAAGAAATCAACCAGGGCTAAGAAGACAGTATTTCACGATGTTCTCGGAAATTCAGTTGGCAACAAAATCGCAGACTTCCGGTCTTGCAACTCCCGTTTTTCAATCATCGCCGACAACATGGGAACCGCCCAAGCCGCCGGTACGGACCCTGAAAAGGAGGTGCCCAGTGTGGTACAGGAAGGCACTTTAACTCCGATCAACGACATTGAATCAGCGACGGAAGAACCATATAGTATTTACACGAGGAAACAAAAATGGTTCATTGTCGGAATAGTGGCAGTGGCTGGTTTTCACAGGTGCGTTGAATTTTGGCCTATAGATGTGTCTGTCGTGGCTAACCTTAACTTTTGCGCCTTAGCCCCTTGCCAGCTAACATTTATTTCCCGGCGATTCCCATGATGGCCGAGGCTTTTGGAACTTCAGAAGAAGTCATCAATCAAACAGTTACGGCCTATTTGGTGATGCAGGGCATTTGTAAGGAGACTCGCCCTCTGGATTTTCATTCAATTTCTGCAATGACATATTTCCGATCGAGACACGTGATGGCTGACGCATAGAACACACGCAGCTCCTATGCTCTGGGGTCCACTGTCAGATCGGTATGGAAGAAGACCAATCTTCTTGGGATGCTTGACGGTACTGATCGGCTCATGTATTGGATTGGCGTTGTGTCCCACCAATGCCTTTTGGTTACTGATCGTACTTCGATTATTGCAAGCCGGTGGGTGCGCGAGCATGATCGCCTTAGGTATGGGAATCACTCGTCATTCAATTTCAACGACTTGATTGCTTAACACAAATCAGGTGCGGGAGTTACTGGTGACATTGCTACACCGGAAGAGCGAGGTAGCTATTTTGGTTTGTTCAATCTTGGACCTATGCTTGCGCCTTGCATCGGGCCTGCGATCGGCGGTGCGTTAGCAGAGAATCTTGGCTGGAGGTCCATCTTCTGGGCTCTGGTCATCATGGCTGGATGCTGTTGGGTGATGCTCTACATGTAAGTGTCTCTATTTGAAATCATCCTTGATTTGATCTTGACAGTATCAAGCTTTTTGCCAGAGACGCTCCGACAATTAGCTGGAAACGGTAGCATCCCGTTGACAGGAATCCACAAACCCCTGATTACAGTGGTTGGGCGCGGCAAGAAGGCGGCCACTCCCGTCACTCTTCCTCCATCCACGAAAAAACAGTCGATCAATCCATTCATTCTCTTCACCTATCCCGACGTTGTCATTGCCTTGCTGTTTACTGGCGTCATATACTCGGTCAACTACAGCATCATGGCCACCATTTCATCCGCCTTTTCCGACGTCTATCCATGGCTGTCCGAGACTCTACTAGGTATCTGTTACCTTCCGACGGGCCTTGGCATGATTGTCGGCACGCAAGTGACTGGAAGATTATTGGATCACGAGTATGCCAAGATCAAAAAGTCTCACGGCGAAGGGCCGTTTCCCAAGGAATACGCACGCCTGCGGACTATGCCTTACCACCTGATTGTATTTGTCATGGCGGTTGTTGGATGGGGTCTTGCACTAGGAAAGGCGGCGCAGTAAGTTATTCTGTTCTGCACTCATCAAAATGCTTGCTAATCTATTTCATCAGTGTCGCCGTGCCTCTTGTGATTTCCGTCATCCGTAAGTACCTGGTCAGCAACCGTTCGCAACTCACCATGAGCTAACATGATACAAGTCGGCTGGTGTGGCATGGCCGTACTCAACACTACAATGACCTTGATGATTGACATCCTGCAATCGCGCAGCTCCGGGGCCACGGCATGCACCAACTTTGTGCGCTGCTCGCTCGGCGCCATTGTCGTGGCCACGACAGATCGCATGATTACGAATCTCGGCTACATCTGGACCTACGTGATGCTGGCGGCCATCTGTGCCTGCATGTTGCCCGTCATGTACATACAGATGAAGATTGGCCCCAAGTGGCGGCTGCAAAGAGACGAGCTGGACATGTGAAATCGGGATGAACACCCGTCTAATCTAAAAACACAGCTCCAAATCGACGGCTTTACACGATCGAGGATGTGAACCCCTGTTACTATCAAAAACGTCGCTTACCAAAACCGGTTTCTCCCAAGCCTCGCGGGTGTATTTGATTGGGCCAGAGCGCTATTGGCTACCATCCACATGGATTCCAAACATGCACTCCGCACTTAATGACATCAGTGACAGGACGTCTATAAAACAATTTACGACACTGTCACGTAGTCGATTGGTCATCGATAATCATCATCCAAATCTCACGTCAAAACCGCCAAGTTTATCTCTTACGCGCGTACAATGCCTGCCGATCAAAAAGGTACTCATCAGTTGCAAACAACAGACAAAAGGCGGGACTAATTCAGAACAGATCCAGCAAAAACCTCTGCCGGGGATGATCCCCTCGAAAAGGCTGCAGCCAAACAAGAAAAGGGAGCAGCAGCAACCGAAGGAATTCTTGGGGAAGACGCCCTCGACGCGGCCATTGGCGACGAGGCCGACGATAACATTGCCGAACAGACGTCGGCCAGTGACGATCCTCTGGAAAAGGCAGAAGCAAAGAAGGAGAGTAGCTGAGGAGGACACTTTCACGCCCAGTATTGTAGCCGGGGTTGGATGGCAAATAAGCAACGAGAGCAGTGTATCGCTCGAGCCATCTCGGGAGTGGATGAGTTAGGGAGAAATCAGAGAAACGCATCAAACATTTTAGCCGCAACCAAAACCATGTGCTCTCATGGATTGAGTGGCCGCCCCGTAATCTCGGACGCCCTGTCGTGACCAAATGTATCGTACCCGGGCGGGGCCATGTTCCCGGATAGATACCCGTCCCCCTCCGTGCACTTCTTGATCATGTGTCTTCTCTTCGGGTACGCCTTGCGCAGGATATCTGCGGTGGCCTGAGAAGTTCCGTACAAAGGCGTTGACGAGCACAGTACAAGTCGTTGTCCGCCCAGGGCTTACGGGTGCTCGACGGGCAAAGACCTGGACTTTGGCCACGTTCCGCACGTCGATGTGGGACACCCCCCAACCGGCAGGACCTGGTGGATATTCCTGTCTCGAGAATACTTGCCAGATCAAGGCATTAGTAAAAATGATCTCCTCTTGAGGTTTGGGTAGAAAGAGGTGCGGTCCCGCGACGAAGCTGAATCCACGGTGGAACAAAGGTAAAGAATCTGTACAGCGCACACTGGATATAAAGTGAGGCTGCTACTCTTGGACATACTGACAGGATGCGCGCTCGGCCTTGAACTTGCTGGCACCTCAACGATGTCCAAGGGGCCATCATCAGAAGATCTCGTCGGCGCGGCCGATTGACGTGATCGAAACGTGCCACGTACAGGATATCCAGCTTTCAGAAAAGCACTTCCGATGTAGCCATGTACGCCTGTGATGAGAAAACGCCGTCTAGAGGTCACCATGTATTGTATGATAACAAGTTCAACTGTAAAACACAAGCATATTTTCAGGAAGGCGTTATGCCGGAGCAGACGATTTGCAGCACTTGTTGCATGCTCGACCTGCCCAGGTAATCATATGATTGAACCATCACACACACATTTTTGAATGCTTTTTTCGCGCCGTCATTAAGAAGTGCGATCGAGGAAGGTCCCTTTGATGTCAGCACGACCTTGATCCTAAGCAGAGCCATCATCTTTGCAGGAGCGCAATCGAGATCAAGTCCATTTGCCAATCATGATTTCTCTATAAAACACAGTGATTAGTTGCGGCTCGGCCAAGCACTGTATCTAAACAAACACTTTTACACTACCAGTCCGTCAGGCCTATGCATTTTGGCGCAAACTTTGGCAGCATAAATGACCAACTCTAGTCAACGTGCGGGCGCTTGCTCCCCGCATATCGTCGGCATCTAGCCCAACTGTCTGTAAAACTGTATAGACTTGTCTCAATCCAAAGAACAATGCTCAGACACGCAAAGCCGGGACCATGAATCCGGGACCATCAATGAATCATCAAGGCAGGAGTGGAATGCATTGTCTTTTAGAGAGCTTTTGGTGCCCTTACTATCTCATTAATTAACCGCGGTACATTTGCCTGTAATCAATGTCCGCATCCCGCTGTTTGATGGAGAGGTCGACGTCTCTATGCCAGTGCCTGATGCTATTCCGTACAGACTTTTCGTATGCAGGCATTGTCATGAAGGCGTGAGCAAACTGCCCATGCGCCCCTGTTGCAAGCTGTTCAGTCTGATTGTAAGCTTTGATAAGCACGGAGACTGTGCCTTCGTCCAAGTACAGGCCGGAATGGCTCATTTCCTCCAATAGTGTCATCATATTAGTCAGATCACCATGTCTTCCATAGTAAATGCCCAAGAGTTCATTGTAAAAAGGAGTCGAGACACCAAGCACAAAGGATTCCAGGCCAAGCTCCTTGATCCGAGGCAAAACGGACAGAGCCAGAGGTGATGGTGTCACAAAGCCCTTGTCAAGGAGACGAAGTCCGAATAGGAGAAATGAAGGGTATAGTGGACCGTAGACGTATAGGTTCAACTTTGGATCGCCCTCAAAGACATCTTCTTTTGATTCATGTGGCAGCCCCGTCGCTTGCTCTTGTGCTTGGCGCTTCTTCTTTCTATCCTTACGTCTTGCCTTTCCGCTAATCTTTACGGGGGCCGTGACGTTGTGCAGGCCGAGTTTTTGAGGATATGTGAAAACTTCGCGCTCCATGATATCCCAAAGCTCAAAATCAGACTTGGCAGTCGACATGAGATCTTCTACGCGCTTTTGTTCTGGGTATCGCTTCGCATCCACTTCGACTAGTCGCATGGTGGAATTCTTTGGTGTCTCCCATATTTCATCCGAACTGTTCGCATCGCCGTCGGCGGTAGTTGAAGCCGCAGCCGGCGCATACGACGACGGGTGGTCTGGATTGAGGAGTTCAAAAGCTCGAGTGGCGGCAGCTCGGAGGGAGGGGGGAAATCTGAGCAGTGCCTTTTCCTTGTCCTTGGCTGCTGATACCATCTGGGCGGCAGAGATTGGTTTTCCGCGGAGTCCCTTGCCAGCATCGTCAGACGCGGCGGCTTCCAGAATCAAGTTGGCCGCGCGCCGCGTAGTTTCGGAAGATTGCGCATTTCTGTCTTGTTGTGGTCTGGGCTTGAGACCTCGCGCAGCAATGTCGGAGAAGATGCGATCAAAGGTCTGTCGCTCTGTTGGGGTGATGGTGCCGCGTGTTTCCTTGGTGTCTTCCAGCGGCAGTACATCTTCAGGAATTTCTCGTGCGAAAGGAATGTGGTCGTCACTTTTTCGTCGATGCGAAGGTGAGACATGCATAGAGCGGGTTATGCTGGGGAGACGTCGACATCGAAGAATGGTTCGAGTCTGGTACAGGAACAGTAGCGGTGGTGTTGACATGGCTGAGAATACTAGATGAAAGCTGACGTCTTTACGTCCGTACCTTGATCGAGTGAGTCAGAGTGGCGGTTGCAAAGACAGACCTGGGCCTGGCCGTGAGGGGACGAATATTTGTCAAGTCTAGAGGCTTACGTTGGGTCATAGCCTGGAAAGAAAAATGTCTGGCGTTGGTCGATTGACTTTCTCTCTGGCGTTCTCTAAAAGTTGCATTGCAGGTCTTATCGATAAAAGCTTGCATCTGGGCCTGGGGCCCTGGCAGACGACTGAGACCAGTAACGGGTGCGCCCGTATGCAAGCACCAGGTACCTGTAGGTGCGCTGCAAGTCAGCCAACCAGCAATTCGTTTAGCGCACCGCGGATCCGCTGACACTTTACGCGAACACCCCTGACTTCGCGTCTCTCTTTCTCACTGGGGGGAGTTTTCTGCCTACGGTAGGTTAATGACGATGATGCAAGTCGAGTAAAGCGCGTCACGATCTAGACTCACTGTCAACATCAACCCCAGACCCCTCGGATTGCTGCCTGATTGAGCATTCAAACGTGTCAAACAATCAATTGTGCTTTCAATTGTGTCTGCAGAATATATTATTTTTTTTGTAATCTTTGTCGTAAAGCAACAAGACCAGTGCTCAGACCTGCCATTGCATTCCTCTCAATCCGGAAGCAGTTTTTTTCTTTGCGCTAGCCAGTCACTCAGCCAAACTCGCAGTTTAACAAACGTGCCACAAACACAATCGCATTCATTGTTTGCTGCTACGAGTCAACTGTGGTCCTATAAATTCGAATTGACAGCTGTACCTTGCTGTATCACGACCGTTGCATCCACCGTCGCGTCCGAGGAATCAACGCCATGGCCCCCGGGGGTATAAGTGCCTTTGAGGCGCGGAGACGAGAAAATGTTGCCAACAATGCGAAACTCCTCCAAGAATCTCAGGCGATCGGTGCCAAAATGGCAAAGGCGGCCAAGCCTCCACCCAAGCCTGCGACTACAAGAAAGAGGAAATCCTCCCCCGTCCAGCGAACGAGGGTAATGCCCACACGATCGAGTGCCCGACTCTCGGCAGGACCCGGGGCCGATGTCGAATTCGAATCGCTCAAGACGGCGGGCGAGCTGGTGGAGGAACAGAAGCCGTCAAAACGTGCTCGGGTCACGGAAGATCTCAAATTGGACAAGGTGACACTAGAGGGATCGAGATGGACTAACGGCGATGCCCTGGCAAGTTTTACACAGGGGGCACAGCCCGGCTTCAGAACTTTCACCGAAGAGGACATCAAGGAGACGTCAGATGAGAAGCTCAAGGAGGTCCGCAAGGGCATGGCCGAGCTCGAGCTCTATGATGGGTGGCTGCCAAATGGTAAGACTTGCCCCATTCTCTGCGCACACCACCATGGTTCTCTTGTTTGCTTGTTGCTGATATAATCTAGACATCAAAATTACCCCAGAGCGTATATACTCGTTGACGTTTCACCCGATTCGAGACAAGCCCATTGTATTTGCCGGAGACAAGAAGGGCGTCATGGGTGTCTTTGATGCTTCGCAGGATAAACCTCAATACGACGAGGATGACGAAGATCCAGACATTCCCTATCCCCAAGTATCGGCCTTTGAGATGCACAGCAGAACAATTTCTTCAATCATTGTACCCGAGTTCGACTCCAACTCGGTTCTTAGTGCCTCCTACGATTCTACTATTCGGTGTCTTGACCTGCAGACGCGGGTGAGTAGCGTAGTATGGCAGCCAGAGGATGAGGACACGGATCTGGGCATCACATGTGTGGACGTGCCAGCGGACTCAAAGGATGTCTTGATATTTTCTACAATGCTGGGCTCTATGGGTCGGTTCGATCGTCGCTCCAAGGCCAAGGCGGAGATTTGGAATCTATGTGATAACAAGATTGGTGGGTTTTCTCTCAACCCATTGCTTCCTCACCTTGTGGCAACCGCCTCCTTGGATCGTACACTCAAGATTTGGGACTTGCGAATGATCAAGGGCAAAGGGGAAATGCGCCGCCCTGCTCTGGTCGGTGAGCATATATCTCGCCTCTCTGTCTCGCACGCGTCATGGAGTAAGAGTGGCCATGTCGCGACATCGTCTTATGATGACACTGTCAAGATTTATGATTTTGAGAAGGCTGTCAAGTGGAAGCCCGGACAGGATATCGGAGATGATGAGATGGAACCGGCTACACAGATCCGACACAATAACCAAACCGGTCGATGGGTGACTATTCTCAAGCCTCAGTGGCAGCTGAACCCCTCCGATGGCGTCAACAAGTTCGCCATAGCGAACATGAATCGCTTCGTCGATGTCTATGACAGCAACGGCGAACAGCTTGCGCAGCTGAGCGGAGAGGGCATCACCGCTGTGCCAGCCGTGGCCCAGTTGCATCCTACTCAAAATTGGGTCGCCGGAGGAACGGGGAGTGGCAAGTTGTGTCTGTGGATGTAGATGGACGCGTCACCAATGTAGCATGAATAGACGAGAGTGGGCCGGCCAAGTCAAGTTTACCGCCTTTGCGCTTGTATACTCCCATCGACATATTTGCGTTGCCATCTACGATTTCTCTTTTCGGGTTGATTTATCCCCGGCGGGCAACGCTGTGTAAATCATGTAGTGCAAAAATTCCGACAACGCCTCGGCGTTGCGGACCTTTTTTTTCGGTGTAAGAATGCGACAAAACTGTCATTTGGCTTGTCTGAGACATTGGATAGCCTCATGGGAAAGGCCACTTACGCAAGCCAACCAATGTTTTTCCACACGTGGGATTCTGTCAAAGTGATATAATATTGACACTGCAAGCTGACCCCTTGGGAAATCGTCTCTTCTTCTACGTCATTGGTCGTTATTGCTTACCGGATGTAAAATAAATCTGACGGCGGCTCAAGCTGAGAAGATCTGGAGGCGTCAATATTCTCCCGGGGTTCTTTTGGGCAGGACTCGCCCACATGGTGAGATTTAGGCGGTGCGACTCATGATACACCCCATTTCGAGAAATAGGAGTATACGATCCGGGCATCGTGCATGGTGCTGGGAGGGGCCCTCCTTCCCGAAAGGGCGATAAAAAGCAATTCATATGTTTCATATATCACGAGTCTAAAGCCATGAAAGTTTGTTATTACCTCACAGGCTTGCGGGCTAGATGGCTCACCTCTTGAATGGGATCGCCCGGGTTTCACTTGTTGTGTAACAGACAGCTGGGAAAGCCAGCCATTGTCTCAGATCATATAAGAAAAAGTTCCTGTAGAATTCACGTATGAAATGAGTATATAAACAGATCAGATTCCGGACTTTGAATGATATCCAAGAAAACAAAACAAACAAACAACACATTCGAGCTTTAGCCAACATTGCTACTACCTCCCCCAAACTTACATAACATTGATTCAACAACACAATCTTCAACGAGCCTCAATTACAACCATGTCCTCCAACAACCTGCAGCTCAGCAAGCTTTTGCTTACCGCACTGGTTCTTCCCCTGTCCTTCTACTCTGGTTCAAACGCAAGCCCCGTGGAAGATGGACACTTCGAAGTTGGAACGCCCTTGCTGAGCGTGGAGATCTCTACTCGAGAGGCTGCACCCGAAGCTGTCGACCACGTCCAGCTAGAATCCCGCGCCACTTTGACTCTCGACCAGAACACTGGCCTCACGGTACAGAACAACGGACGCAAGTCCTTGAACGAAGTCCTCCTCGTCTGGGACGACACCCTGACGGCTCACGCTCAGCAATGGGCCAACTACCTGGCACAGATTGACCAGCTGCAACACTCCACTTCTTCTCAGCGCCCTGGCGAGGGAGAGAACTTGGCATATGCCTGGTAAGCTTACTTTCTGGACTTTGTAGAATTCACCCAGTGTGCTGACTCTGTTTTCCCCCAGGGCTACCAACGGCATCAAGTATCCCCAGACTCAAGCCTCTCAGGGATGGATGGCAGAGAAGTCCAGCTACAACGGAGAGGTCATTCCTCAGGGTAACTTTAACGCTTATGGTCACTACAGTGAGTGAATCCAATCCCCTTTGGAGATTCAAATATCCTGGGACTTCTTATACTGACCTGGGATTGCCCAAAAGCTCAATGCGTATGGAACACTACCACCAAGATTGGAATGGCTAATGCCACGGCCTCAAACGGCGGCGTCTACACTGTCGCCAGATACTCTCCTCCCGGCAACTACGTCGGCCAGAAGCCCTACTAGAGCATCAGACGACTAGAATCGAGTAAAGAAGTCTCTACACCGCGGCGACGCGCCATCTCTCCATATATACATAGTCCGACCTGTTTCCTTGTTTGCTAATGATTGGATTTTTCTTGACGATTATCAACACGAGTCTTACGAACTTACGAGTGAGAGGAGGATCTCTCTTGAATATTTGTTCCCTATTTTTCTTTTAACCCCCTAGTAGCATACCTCGACGATGCAAACTCACTCGTTGATACCCCTTCATCTGTATCTACCCTTATGTCTATAGTCACCTAGCACTTTAGTATATAGCCCACTCATTTAATGACAAAAAAACCAGAAAAGGATTTCTATTCCTCAAACCAAACCGCTTCGCATCAAAATTCCAAGGGTATTTTTGTTGACCACTGTCTAACTGTGTTGCCAAGCCAGCCTTATTCCGTTCTCTCTCCATCGGGAATGCCGCGGGATCTACGGCCGAACCCGCAATTACCCTGGTTCCCTATATCTGCACATTTTGGGGGGTGGAAACCGTTGCGCGGTTCGGATGATGCCGACAAAAGGCTATTGATTGGAAATGTCTCATCCCTCGAATGCCCTATTGCAATCTTTACCTTTTCGTTGGGGGAGAAACCAGTCCACATCATCTCGAGCGCCCCAGTTTGTGTAACTTGTCCTGAGCTTGAGTCAAGGGAATCCGGCACAACAAGAGGCAAGACTTGCCGACTTTCCTGATTATAATGACACCAAAGACCCTCTATCCAGGCGTGGCATTGGTCACTGGCGCCGCGGGGACTGGTATGTGGCATCACGTTACCATGATACTTGAAGAAGAGAAATGAGCTAGTTTTCCTGATTTCTTTGCTTTTGCTCTTTCCAAAGGAATCGGCGCCGCAGTAGCCAAGGCGTTTGCGGCCGAAGGATGTAAGCGCATCGCCATTACGGATCGCAACACCGAGCTTTTGAGTGCCGTCGAACAGGCCATTCTAGGACAGCACGGCGGCAGTAGCAGCAGCAGCAGCAGCAACGACAACGACAACGGCAATGCCAGAATCGAGGTGCTCGCGATAGCCGGTGACATTGCCGACGCGGCGTTTGTGCAGAGCCTCGTGGACGAGGTCGTGGCCAGGTTCGGACGGCTAGACTACGCCGTCAATTGCGCGGGCGTGCCGGGCACGGGTCAGCGGTGCACTGAGACGAGCTTTGAGGATTTTGACCGCATCAATGGTAAATAGAATGAACAAAGTCTCCCCTCCCATCCTTTCTAGCTTGTTCTTTGCAGGACTAGGAACCCTTTGCTAACACGAGCTTTTCTGGGGGATCTGCACAGCCATCAATTATCGCGGGGTATGGTCATGCTCACGTGCGGAACTGGGTGCCATGATCAAGCAGGAACCTCTAGAAACCAACGTCTCGGGCCGCGCACCAGCTCGAGGGGCCATTGTGAACATTGCCAGTCAGCTAGGTATAGTTGGCAAGGCAAAGATGGGTAAGCAGAGTATAATTCAATTCCATATGATTCGTTCAAAGGGGACGATCTCATTGGTATCCACTACTACTGGGTATACTAATGGAATGGCTGGCCATCATAGGACCATACAGCGCGTCCAAGGCCGCCGTCATATCCCTCACGCGCTCCGACGCGATAGACTACGCCAAGGACGGCATCCGGGTCAACTGCGTCTGCCCGGGTGTTATTGAGACGCCCATGACGGTGTGGGACCACGAGAGCCGCCGCAGACAGGAGCCGTATGTTCAAATGGCCCCCGTCGGCCGGATTGGGCAGCCCGAGGAAATCGCAGACGCCGCGCTATTCCTCTGCTCCGCCAAGGCCAGCTTCGTACAAGGACATGCGATGGTCGTTGATGGCGGATACATCCTGACATAGAGGCCACGAGAGGGCTGTTATGTCGAGCCGACCCCTCTAGTCTCGTGCCACTTGTGGGGGAGAGAATATGGGGAGATGTTTTTGTGACGTAAATTTCTTGAAATGGACCATTCACTTATTCGTACCTATTCATCCTGTCGGAAGAGAAGCGGAGCTGCGGTGAGACAATAATATGTGTGTATGTGCCCTGCATCAGTAAATCGCAATAGTAAAAGAATTGAAGATCCAAGGATCCTCTCTCCTGATGAAAGCTTCACACCACTATTTCTAGCCACGTTCCGGTGGCTGCCCAGGGATGTGATATTAAGGTTCAGCGGCGCCTACCCGCCGGCATGGCAGTGGGTCGTTGATCAGCAGCGAGTCAAGATCGGCCGAATTTGGCCGCGCGGCGGAAGAGGGACCAGCAGCCAAAAAGGCGAGGAAATAGGGAGCATTGACGGAATAAATGGTGTCACTGCCGACAAGAAGGGAGGCGGAAAACTTGGGACCATCCAATCATCCAATGAGAGCAGCTCGAGTGCACGTGAATCGTGGTTCGCTATCCGCTTCATATGAAATCCATACCCATGAAGAGCAGCAGCAACTAGAACTGCAACAACTCAAGCAACTGAAACCGAATCTGTAAAGTCACTGTTCATTGATATCAAACCACGAAAACAATCAAACTTTTCAAATCACCTACCCAAACGCCAATAATTTAAAAAAAAAAAAAACATTCGCCATGGGTGACAAGCTGGAAGATGTGCGGCCCATGTTTGAGCTGAAGGGCCGCAACTATATCGTCACTGGTGGTGCTCAGGGAATCGGTTTCGCCGTGACCCGGGCAATTGCAGAGATGGGAGGAAATATTGCAGTTTTGGACATTCAACAAAAGCCGCTGGACGAATTCAACACCTTGTCTGAGCGATTTGGCGTCAAGACGGTATACATTCGTACCGATGTGACCAAGCAAGACGACCTCAACTCCAGTTTCGCAAAGGCCCTGGAAGAACTGGGCTCGATAGATGGCTGCGTTCCCGCTGCCGGTATTGCTATTGACAAGCCATTTATCGAGCAGACCTGGGAAGAATTTACAAGAATACAGGACATCAATGTAAGTTTTCTCGGCCAGAAAGGCATATATATTCATCAAATGCTCACTTAAAATGCAGGTCCGGGGCACATTTTTCGTCGCACAACTGTGCGCAAAGCAAATGCTGAAGCAAGGAAAGGGAGGCAGCATGGTCTTGATTGCTTCTCAGTCTGCACACATTGGACTGCCGGGCTACCGCATGGCCGCATACAACGCGTCCAAGGGTGGCATTCTGATGCTGTCCAAGGCGCTGGCTGTTGAGCTGGCACCTCACAATATTCGTGTCAACACCATTTCTCCCGGTTTCGTGGACTCTCAAATGACTAGGGACGTTCGCGCCTCCAAGACCAAGGGGCAGGGCGAGCAAATGTGGCTGGCTCCTCCCATGCAGCGACTCAGCACGCAAAACGATCTCACGGGCGCTGTTGTATACCTGCTGAGCGAGGCCGCCAAATTCACAACGGCTGCAGATATTCCCATTACTGGTGGATTGCATGCTGGAACTATTGATGGCTTGATCACTTATGAGTAACAAATGAATTACATAGTCGATACCTAATTATGAATTAAACCAAAGAATCATACAAGATACACATTTGATGTGATTGTTCATTCTTCTTCAGCTGCCACGCAATACTGCAGGTATTTTGGACTCATGCTTAAAAAAACTTAATCTCCCGAAGCCGGGGCCGAGTCATGTGCAAGCCAAGATCTCAAAGTCTCAACGGCCCGGAAATCCCCTTCTGCAACGTACTTTGCATGAACCTAACAATTTTTTTTTTCTTCTTCCAGCCGCAAGTCTCTGAAACTGACTTGTTAAATCGTCAGCTCACTACCAAAGACTGCTTCTCGAATGACTTGCAGAAACAATGCAAACACACTTATTCAAGATGTGCAGCATTGTGGCGGTTTGGAATGTGCATACGGAGACTTGTGTGTTTCTCCTCCGTGAAACCGGCCGACAACTCGTCCTCTGCAGCGGCTGCGGCAGTGACACGTCCGCACCCCGGTTCACTATCCGACGACGACAGCAGGGCGCCCAGAGGGACCTGAGGACCAGCACCAGGCCGGTCGCCTTGGTTGGCCCACAAGACCCCTACGTACTTCTCAGACTAGCCGAGATAAGTGACTTACCCCAGATTGTACGCCTTGAAATTATGACACACGCATTGATGCAAAGGGGTTGGCATTCTATTCTATTCCCTTTTTTCCCCAGACAGTCGAATTGTAGCGCTCCAAGTACTATAGTAGTAGCGTGCTTATCTCTGTTGGTTGATTGACCAAAAACATGAATCAAGGTTCCCTAGGGGAAACCGGCCCAGATTTGCACGTTCCCAGATACGACAGTAGCGCAAACCTTGGATGAACCGTGAGCCAGCATCCCGCCAAACCCGTTTGCTGCTGACCGACAACGCCGGCTGTCGACCCAGATAGGGCAAGACGTCGTTCGGTGCAATGTCCACAGCCGACGAGTAGTTTGAGTCGCTTCCCCAGTTTGGCAGTGGAAGCTATTGATTGGTATTGTCTGGCAACTGTCTGGCTGGATGAGCTGGCTTGGTTGGCCTAGCCTGGCCTGGCCTGGCAGCGCTGGCTGAGCAGCACCACACACCCCCGGAAGTCGTGTGTCTCTCTGGCTTCCATTCGTTCTGCCAATTGTTCGATCAAAAAAGGGCTCAGGGTGCGCTAGCCGGTCCACGTAGTGGCGGTTGAAGCCCATGATAACTTGCGCGTAAACCAGAGGCTAGCATGATAATCAATCCATAGGCGTCTGATAAGGGTGAAATGAATATGGGGTAATAGGAGCATGGATCGAATTTACTTAAAGGATTCCTCTGACCTGGTCGAGGAGGAATTGTGAAATATATCGTGCGTGAGTCAAGACAAATAATCACCCAATACCTTACCATATTGTCGTCACACCTCGAGACTCGAGAAGAAGAAGAAAAAAGACCACGTGCACTTCTTTAGCAACATTGTTTGGTTGGTCAGTCAGTTGCAGCCATGGATCAAAGTTACGACCTGGTGGTTGTTGGTGCAGGTACGCTCTCTCATCGACACCCCCCCTTTTCACCTCTAGCTTCATTCTAACTCGAAAGGCAGGATGGTTTGGACTTGCGGCTGCAAAGGCTTGCACAGAGTTGAGGCCAAATGACAACATTGCAGTCCTCGAGTCTGCTACTTCTTGCGGTGGAACATGGGCCGAGCACAGATTATACCCCGGACTCAAGTCCAACAACATGCTGGGCACTTATGAGTACCCCGACTTCCCCATGAGCGAAAAGGTCTACGGTGTGAAGCCAGACAACCACATTCCCGGAGCTGTCCTCAACCGGTATCTCACAGACTATGCGCGGCACTTTGGATTCCTGGACCGCGTAAAATTCAAGCACCAAGTGGATGGCGTCGAGTCTCTGCCCGACGGCAGCTGGGTCCTGACAGTGACGACGCCCGAGGGCCAGAAGACGATTGCGACGGCAAAACTGGTGCTGGCCACTGGTTTGACCTCGACGCCCAACATGCCCAACTACAAGGGCGCAGAGTCTTTCGAGGCCCCCTTATACCACGCCAAGGACTTCTGTGACCGGGCCGATACACTGAAGGGAATCAAGAACGCCATTGTGGTAGGTGGAGCCAAGTCGGCCTTTGATGTCGCCCACGCCTGCGTCGAGGCCGGTGCCACAGTCGACCTCATCATCCGACCCGACGGCCACGGACCCGTTTGGATCGCACCTCCATTTGTCACGCCCCTGAAGCGTCGTCTCGACAAGCTCCTGTTTGTGCGATGGATGACCTGGTTCAGCCCCTGCCCCTGGGGTGAGGAGGATGGTTACATCTCGGCGCGCAAGTTCCTTCACGGAACTGCTCTCGGACGTTTCCTGGTCAAGTCTTTCTGGAGCATCTTGGGCAACGACGTCATCAAGGCCAACGACTACGACTCTCACCCTGAACTTCAGAAGCTCAAGCCCTGGCAATCGGCATTCTGGATTGGCAGTGGTCTCAGTATCCTCAACTACAGCACCCCATTCTTCGACATGGTCAAGCAGGGCAAGATCAAGGTGCACATTCAAAACATTGACCACCTCGAGGGCAAGAAGTGCCACCTCGAGGATGGCACCGTCCTGGACGCCGACGTCATGATCTGCTCGACGGGCTGGAAGAAGGAGTCGTCGCTCAAGATCAAGGGTCTCGACGCCGCCGGCCTCAGCCTGCCCGTGTCAGAAAAGGAGCTTGGACAGCTGAACAAGGAGGCCGACGAAAAGGTTCTCGCCATGTTCCCCATCCTCAAGGACCAGCCCAAGCTGCGGTTCGAGGAGAAGAAGGGCGAGCCGCTCCGCTTCTACCGCTTCGCCGTGCCGCCGAGCATGGTCAAGAGCCGCAACCTGGCCTTTGCCGGTATGATCTCCACCGTCGGTACCGCCGTGTGCGCCTCCATCCAGGGCCTCTGGATCTCCATGTTCCTGGACGGCAAGCTCGAGCGCATTGCCAAGACGGACGAGGAGATCTCGGACGAGGTCATGCTGCACACCCAGTGGGGTCGCTGGAGATACCCCTGCGGCTACGGTGCCAGCTTGCCCGACTTTGTCTTTGACTCGCTGCCGTTTGTGGACCTGCTGCTCAAGGACATTGGTCTCAACAACCACCGCAAGGGCGGCATGATTGCCGAGCTCACCACCCCTTACGCTCCCGGTGACTTTGCTGGTCTGTTCCAGGAATGGCAGCAGAAGCACCCCGACGTGAAGAACTAGAATTATATAAATTCCCTATGTCATGTATGAATTTGGGTTTTCCATCGAGTCCGTTCGGACCAGGTGACGATAATGCCTTGGTTGGGAAAAGGTTCGGGTCTTGTAGTTTTATTGTGTAATTTCATTTGGCAGAAACGATTTCCATTATTTACAATTGAATACTACTTTTAAAAAACTCGCCCTGTAAGCATCTTCATTAAAACAAGTTCAAAATATCCGAGTATAACAATTCAGATTACCCAGTTGGCTGGTTCACGCTAATGCAGCATCCCGTAGTATGGGTACTGTTCGGTATAGTGAAACTATGACAGGGGCTTTGCCTACTGTATGTCTTCACTTGGAATAAAGCTTGAGGCGTACTATCACCCGTAGGCTCTCACCGCTATCTGGAAATAAGCTTACGACCCCAAGTATTTGAAATTCCTCCGTACCCACGCGCGTCATGCTCAGCAAGTCAGTGGCGTCAGGCTATCGTTTCATCCACGAGGCATGAGCCTCGGCTCGCTGTCAGGGCTGTCACAACTGTTCTCGCCAACATGTCATGGGTGTCAGATAAATCTAGACGCCACCAAAAGAGTACCGCTGACTTTGTATTTCCGGGGAATTTAACCCACAGAAGATGATGAGACAAGTGCCTCTCAAAATGCGCCCTTGGGCTGACCTCGCCAAGCTATACGCGCAACGGGCTGACGTAGAGATCTGAGTAGCTACATACTTGCAAAACTATGCCATGTGGGGTCTTGTTCGCCATGCAGACCCAACTTGCCTCTTGAAAAAGTTGAAAATTGCAAAGACCAAGTAATTTGAGCACCTATTAAAGACGAAAGATTTGATACATCTCTTTTGCTTTCATCTTTCCCATGACTCGGATGACCTAGCCCACTACAAATATTCCTGGGCTTTTCATATCATTAAATATTCAAATGGTACCGAGCCGAGCTTTCCACTTGGGCCAAGGAAGAGTTGTGATAATGAACTCCATCAAAATGTTGACTCAGGTAGAAACATCAAACTCATCAATGACTGATCTGGGCTTCTCAAAGCTTCCAATAGGTTTGTACTCCAAGTCATTGAATCCAAAGCCTCTAGGTCCGCCTATTTCGATGCCTCTGGCAGTAGATGTCCATTTTTCTGATGCTGTTATGGCCAAGACCACAACGAGGAGACCATATCTGTATTCTTGCGTGCCAATGGCCTCGCCGTTTTGCGCATCTATGACACAAACAAGATCAGGCACAACGGCAAGTATCTGTTTCGCGAAAGGTCAGTAATTATCGTAGTCGCAAAGTAAACGTGTGGAACTTACCTCTTCCTGTCCATCCGGGCCAATCTTCTTGACGAATATGTTTTCATTCTTGAAAGGAATGATTATCCTTTCCACGGGGCCCTTGCCGTCCTCTGATGCAGACTCGATAATGACCTCGCCATAGGCATGGCCCATCCTGGTGATCCTCTCCACTCCGACAATCTTGCCCTTGAACAGGACCTTGGCCGACTTTGGTCCGCCGACCTCTTCAATAATTGACTCGGCGACGGTATCGACCTGGTTGGTGCATCGCGACAAGGCGACTGCGCGTCCGATTCGCCACGACAGAGAGACGGTGTTCTCAACTACCCAGGTCTTGGTGTTGCTTCCCGAGACGGGACCCTTTGCGCACCCGACGTGGGATCCCATCTGAGATAGCGCGGCACGGAATGCGCGCTCTACCTCTAATTCCGTTCGTGCCTTGGTCATGATCTGTGCTTGTCAGTGTGTGCTACGTCGTTAGATTTTGTCTATAACGGACGTACCATTACTCTCCCGTTTCCATCAGAAATGGTCGAGGGAATCATTGTCGCCTTCTTTTCAAATACCACGGGTGTTGTCTGCCATGAGACTGGGTAAGCCCGCCCCATCCAATCACCATCAACACACGGTATATCCATATTAGTGGAAGCTCCAAGGATGAGTCCTTGTAATCCATTACCGCCGCCGATTTCCAGACTTATAACGGCGTCTGGCTTGACTTTCAAGTATTCATAAAGGACAGTCTGAGACTCCATCATTCTAATCCCAATGTCAGTCACAGTGAGCACCTTGCCGAAAAGCGCAAACTTACTCATCTCCGTAGGGCTTCTCAATGGACACTTGGGGGGATCCCTTTCCTCCACCACAAGCCACAATGTCCTTGTCCTTGAGATCCCACGGCGATACGACGCGCACCGTGGCTCCAGCCCTGAGCATTTCGCGCAGCCGCAACATGTGCTGATAAGGAGAGCCACCTCCTCCCGTACCGAGGATATAGCAACCGATGCTGATCCAGTCCAGGTCTGTTTCGGAAATGAACCACTGCCTGTTTACCACCTTGGGCTTGTACCCGTCGATGTAGCTCTTGGTGAAAACAATCTTGTCCGGAGCCGAGTTATCATCAACAATTCCTTTTCGTGACTCTTCATTGGACCCGTTAGCTTCTTCGCTAGGTGCATTTCCGCCGTTTGTCAGAGCCTCGGGAACGCCAGAGAGATCCGTCCTGGAAAAGTCAAAATCTCCAACGGCCTTGATGACGACTCTCGACTTGTCGGCGATATACTGTGCATGATATTAGCAGCCATCACTCCTTGCTTTTAGACTTCTAACCCACTTGCAAAGCCAGACTCTCCACCTCGGCAATCGTCACAGTATCCCGTAATGCGCCATTAGAAACCGCCTGGTCAATCGCTCTCTTGGACAGCTCCTCAATCACCTGTGCCAGAGTCCTGGATTCGGTACTCTCAATCGAGTCGACCACGCCCGATACTCGCGCCGTGGCCGCACCAATCGCATTGGCGACACCCGACCACTGAGGCTTGATGACCTTGCTCGCGCCCTTGAGGGCATCCGGGGCAATGACGGCACCTCCACCGACCAGCACGACGGGGATGTCTTCCGGCGACGTCTTCATCACGTCAATGACGCGCTCAATCTTGGACTTGACCTCGGCCTTGAAGGCGCTCAGGTGGCTCTCCAGCTTGGCCGCCTCCACCCGGGCGCGGTCGCCAATCTGAATCGCCGTGTCGGCCAGGACGGTGTAGTCGGTGGCGGTGGCGACGTCACCGCCAAACACCAGGGCCTTGGTCTGGATCTGGTAGCCCACGCTGTCGGGGCCGATGGAGACCGTCGCATCGTCGGCGACACGCACAATGGAGCCGCCGCCGAGACCGATGCTCCGCACGTCGGGGTAGGAAAAGTTTGTTCTCACTCCAGAGATCTCGCTGTACGCGGCTGCCTGCCTGGGGAAGCCATTCTTGAGCAGCAGGCCTACATCGGTAGTGGTACCGCCAATGTCCACAACCATCATTGCTTCCTTGTCCAGTCCCTGGGTTAGGAATGCGGCACCGCGCATGGAGTTGGTAGGACCGCTGGAGAAGGTCCTGATGGGCACTTGTGCAGCTGAACTAGCCGGCAATATCGTGCCGTCATTCTGGGTCAGAAATACGGGACAATTGAGCTTGAGACTACCGACTGCATTCTGAAAAGAGTGAATCGTGCGTCTCGCAAACGACAGTATGGCCGCATTGAGCACTGCCGCATTCTCACGTTCCAGGAATCCGATATTGGCCACATCCTTGGATATCACAACGTCGGCTTCGGGATAGACTTCGCGGATGACCTCGGCGGCTCTCTCCTCTTGTCGGTAGACCACATCAATGGGACTAAAGACTCCAGCCACCACGATGCTCCTAATGCCCTTGGACTTGATAACCTCGCATTGCCGGCGAATCTCATCCTCGTCGAGCTCTGAGATTAGTGTGCCGTCAATTTCAAGTCCACCATCGACCAGCCCCCGGTATGCGCAAATGATGTTTCTGAGCTTTGGTGGCCAATCTACTCCGACTGGAATCTCTTTCGAGAACGGCCCGCACAATCGCAGCACGGCAACACGGGCCAGGCGAGACTGATCCATTTCCACTACCGCATTGATAAAGTGCGTGGTGCCAATTGTGACGCTGGCGACATCTTCTGGGTTGACGTTGGACTCGCGAAACACTGTAAACTTTAGCACATGTGCAAACTGCCAAGTCGAAATGATTGCGATGCTTACTCTCGCTAATGACATTATTGATGCCATCGCTGGGGTTCTTGGTCGTGCTCGACTTTTTCCACGCAACAATGCCACGATCCGACTCTGACGACCTACTGGGGTCCAAAATGACACCGTCGGTATTGGTGCTATTGACCTGTTAGCTGAGGCGCGTTTCTCCAAAGAGTCTTGCTCTGCATCTTACCCGCCAACGTCGACTCCTATCCGCAAATGAGGCGCCATGATCTAATTATTTTTCTGCTGCGCAGCTGATTTCCGATCACAGAATCAAAGTGACTTGGTATACTCGCCCAACGTTGCGCGCGCACACACACTCCTGGGCTTAGTCTCTCTGACCAATTCAGGACCAACGACTCGTTAAAATCAGCCGCCTCAATAGCCACTCAAGATTGTCGCTAATAACCAACAGTCACGATTAAAGGTCAATATCCTGAATTTGGCGAGTCGTACGCTCTTAGTCTGCCGATGGCTTAATGAATAACGGGATGCTCTTCCAACCTGAACCGCCGAAAGTCGCCGAAGCCGAGCCCGCGTCAATTAAGGAAAGGTCCGGAGTGGAGACGCTGCGGAGCTTGCCCGGTCGCCTGTCGGAGCGCTTCCGACTATAATACCTGGATTGAGATTGAGTCTTTGGAGTATTAGTTTGACCATAAAATCGTCTTGATAACATTACACATGAAATATAGAGTTTCCATCAAGCCTTGGAATGATACTAGTACAATAGTCTCAATTCGGTCTTGGCACCTATTTTCCGATCGCAACTTATCGGTCCATTCAACGCGTGGCCCGGCTTCGGAGCGGTCATGATAAGCACTCGGCCGGGATGTTCCCGATAAGGCGAATCAAACCATTGTCATGATGGTTTGTTAAGGAAAACGAATCCCATGATTTGAGTGGTGTACCAGCCCACCTTCGAGTCTCGTCTTTTGTCGTTCTTGCGTAGACAAACTCCATTGGAAACACAAATGGCAACGACAAGGACAATCGGCAAGCTGAGAGAGACGGTCGCGCTCAAGGCCGATGATGCTCACCATGAGGAGGTCAATGCCTGGTGTAACCGCGACTTGATCCCGTTGCCGCCCTCGCGCCGCACATGGGGCTGGTTCAACTTTTTTGGTTGTTGGTCGGTGTAGGTGATGCTTTCGACCGTGAAAGTACTGCTCGAGGACTTTGTAAACTGACATTTTCCAAGATCATCGCTCACGGTTGCGACATGGCAGACCCCGAATACGTTCCTGACGCAGGGTCTTTCGGTGGGCCAGGCCATGGCCATTGTTATCATCTCGAGAGCTATTTGCACCATTTTTGCCGTGGCAGTTGCGTGGTGTGGTTTGAGTAAGTCATTCTAGAGCTGCTCAAAAGTCCAAGCTCCAGACTGACTTGTATAGCTTGGCACATTGGCTTTACTGTGCAGAACCGTTTCACTTGGGGCATGAGGGGTAGTTATATCCCCCTGTTGCAGCGCATCCTGCTCAATTTCATCTGGACTGCGATTCAATGTAAGAAATGCACTCCCGTCTCGTGTATAATTATCTAACAGTTCCATCTAGGCTGGAATGGCGGCAAACTTGCCAGGTACGAGCTAGTGAAAACTTGAAATTGATAGACAGAGAAACTAACAGATACAGCGTGTGCATCACTGCAATTTGGCCCTCCTTTGCCAACATTCCAAACACACTGAGCGCTAATACGCCTACCACGACGTATGAGCTGAACGGGTTCATGGTATTCTGGTGCATATCCGTGCCGTTCTTATTCATCCGTCCCGAAAAGTTCAAGAAGCCCTTCTTCGTCTCATCCGTCGCCTGCGGCCTGGCCATGGTAGCCTTGATGATCTGGTCACTGTCCGTGGCCAAGGGCGTGGGACCCATGTTCTACCAGGGCCAGACGGTTTCTTCGTCGTCCAAGTGGAGCGTGTCATGGCTGATGCTGTCGGGAATTAACCAGGCTATTGGCGGCAAGGCTGCAGGTATGACCAACAGCAGTGACTTTTCGCGATACGCCACGAGGAAGCGTGATTACATCTACGGCACTCTGAGCGTGTACTGGCTCGTCGGTGTTTTGGTGTCGCTAGGAGGTCTGATCACTACGGCTGCTGCGCAAAAGATCTACGGTGATGTGTACTGGAATCCGCCGGACCTCCTCATGGTCATGATGGATCGTAAGTATTCCTGGAGAACTGAATGCGACACCATACTGATATGAAACAGATGGAAAAGGATCCTCTGCGGCGCGAGCTGGCGTCTTTTTTGCGTCACTCGCCTTTGCATTTGCCTCCATGTTCGAAAACGTCTGCTCCAACTCTGTCGCCGGCGGTATTGATCTTTCAGGACTGTTTCCGAAGTATATCGACATTCGCCGCGGCTCCCTCATCACATTCTTCGCCGCCTGGATCATCCAGCCTTGGCAGCTCGTCAACCGCGCCGCGACGTTTGTCTCGGTGTTGAACTCGTTCTCCGTCTTCTTGGCACCCATCATGGGTGTCATGGTGTGCGACTACTTTCTCCTGCGCAAGCAAAAGATTCGCTTCTCGAGCTTGTTTTACCCCGAAAAGTCGCAGTACTGGTTCTGGCACGGTGTTAACCTGCGCGTCATTCCCTGTTGGATCGCGGGCTGGGCTCCTACACTGGGAGGATTGATTGCTACTGCGGGTGGCGTTTCATCGCCTAGAGGAGTGTACGAGCTGTACTACATGGCATTTTTCATCGGATTTTTCATCAGTTTCGTGTCATTCTATGTCATCAATCTGATATTCCCGCTGAACCATCTCGGCGAATTTGACGAGGTGGACCACTGGGGCACCTTTACGGTCAGGGAAGCGGAAAAGTTGGGTATTGTCCCAGAGGGTCAAGAGATTGAGGGTTCGTATGGCGACTGGAAGGATGCGGTCGGTACCGAAGTCACAGAAACGCCAGGGTACAAGAGATCCAAGTAAACAGACTGGCTTTTGGTATCGTGCTGAGAAGTCTTTATGTTCATGACCAGTTTAATGAAACAACTTCATCTCTCAACAAGCGAAATATTGAAAAGCGGCGATTATCAGAAATTGTACTCTGTATTAGTAAGTCTAACATCACGAACAAAGACATTGTTATCATATCGGACCTGATGTAGTTGCGAGTCTTTGCTTTCACAAATCGTGGTCCGGATCGAGTACTGCGAATACTCGCTTGACGATCTCCAGACCTATATTCTGAATGTCTGCTATATATCTCTCTGTAAGCTTCACAAACAAAGAGCACAGCTACTCTTGGTAGGTCACATGGTTTGAGCTGTTCGAAGAGCAATCTTTGCTCTGAACACAAGCAGAGAGAACTCGCTTATCTGCACCGAGGTTTCTTAAACATTGCGAGGCCGCGTGCTATTGACAATCTAGCAACATTATTAATAGATTCCAGGAGAAAGTATTCTGTATAATGTATCAATCAGTGTAGCTAATGTCAAAATTCGAGCTAATGGTCGATCTAGACTTTAATCTTTTTGCTTTTTGTCAATATTATGCATGCGCAGCAGCGAGATGTAAGCAGCTAGGGATCTGTGATTGTCACAATCTCTTAAAAGCTCTCTCATTACAATACAGCCAGTGCCTATACTCCAACACAGTCTTCAAAGCCATAAAACTTATCACAATTATTCTTAAGAATGAACCTAGGGAAGAAGAAAAACATACTTTAACAGTACCTAAGTATGGTCTTGAAAAAATCCTTCTCGTATCAACTGAGATTCATACTGAAAGCGAAAAACAGGATCTATACCTAAAGCTATCTGTAAACTTCTCGCATAGTCAGCCCGCTCTTGCACGAGTGTTTGAATGTGAAAATCTGTACGTTTATGCAGGTGGAAATGTTTTCGTGCTAACTTGAACAGATCCTCAGGGCTGATATCATAATCTACCGGTATAGGACCCGACTGCAATGTTTCGGGTGGCAGAAGTCCCAGCAAGGCATATATTCAATCGAGAGGGTCTTTGCATCTTCTGTCGTGGTAGAGGTGTACCAGAACGTCCAGACGGAATGACCGCTCGTTGCGCAGAAACCGTGATGCCATTACTGAGTGCAGCGGATCTGTCGGATTTCTGACTTCTTCCAAGACCCGGTCCATAAATTTGGAGACCTTGAACGCAAGATCTCTATACCTTGGGTCCCCTATACCGAAGCAATGCAGCCAACATTCCTCCAGAGCTCGCCACGTACATATACTGTTGCCGCACATGACCCACAACTCTCGGGACAGCAAAATCTCTTGTATAATCCACATTCTGGTGAAATACTCCATGCAAGCGATTTTCTCCATACAGGATTTGACCTGATGCCACAACTGCTCTTCATCTTCGTTGAAATCCTGGTCGAAGGCTGCGTCGTAGGGTGTGGGGGAGTCAAGGGGGTGGCTCAGACCATCTTCTCCATGATTTTGTAATTCTTGTAATTCTGCCAAAAGCCGACGTTGGAGGTTTGCATGGCTCTCTCGAGAATCTCGTGATTTCTGTAAATCTCCTAAATTGACCGTAGTCAGGGTTCGAAAGTGCTCGTCTTCTGGGCCCAACCACGCAATTGTCAGGGAAGCGCTGTTAAAGATGTCTGCCATTATGGCCACCTGATGATTGCGCTCTTTTGTATCTTGCTGATCAATACAGATAGCATCAATCCAAAAGTATTGCTCGTCTCGTCGGAATCCAGACTGTTCCCCATTGCGTCGGAGTTTCGCCAAGTGCGGCAACACGTAGCTCAAGTTGTCTCGTACTTTAAAGACTCGCCCATTAACTACGATCGTGTGGCTAGGCTCATCATTTCCCCAAGTATACGAAAGAGCAATATACGGCGGACTTGTTTTGAGATTGGATGTCGTTAAAGAGTATTTCAGGCTAGAGTCGACTTGTGGGATGATTTCAAGCAGGCGAATTTCCGTTTTTCCTTTGTCAAGGGGTGTGTATTGGAATGGAATGGAAGCCATTTTGGAAGCGCTGGGGGTTTATCCAGATGTTTTTTGCACCGTATAATGTAAGACGTTGCTGATTACGGTGTTTTGAACAGTTTTTAATCGAGCGGGCCGTTTCCAGTTTGTAGCCTGGAGTGTGGCATGTTCATAGCGACAAAGGTTTCGAGAGAGTCCGAACAAGAAAGTCAAGAGGTCACGAGACTCGGAGAATAAATGCGCATAAGAACATTCTCAGAGGTGAACTTATTGTGACATTGAAGTGAGATTGGAAAAAAAAAAAGTGGAAAAAATATATCTAGATCTTTGGGTATCTGAATGGTGGTGCCTTGCCCTTTACCCCGCAGGGTGGCAGTGTTTGGCTGCCATAGCCACGACCTGAGAAGCTGGCCACAGCCACTTACGTACATGCAACAAAAGCAAGCCGTCGGCTGAAGTTGCGACTCAGTTGGTTTTTCCAATTTCTGCCTTGGCGTTCTAACATTCAACGCCCCAACGACCTGAAGCCGCAAGCCCAATCATGGCTGTCCAAAGCAGTAAGCTTTACTTGAATCAGCGTAGCTCAGCTCTAATTAAACCAGACAGGATGATCCATACAATCAAATCATGCCGATTATGTAAGCTAGGGGTTTATCAACCACAACAGCATAAGAAGTTGGCTGGTTAAAAGGGAGCAGTGTTTGTAATCAGGGTCTTGCAGAAGATTATAAGGATTTTTAGACTTTCCTCGCGCTATCCAGTCCTGGGCGTACACAGCATCCTGGTGAAATCGTTAGTATATGCTTCCATGACGAATGCATGAATCGGAATTGCTGATTATAAGGCGAATCTAGTATGCTCAGGAGAATTCTTTTTGAACGCTGGCATATACAACACACTGAGTAAAGATTTATCTTCTGCAGACTTTTGGAATGGCGTCATGCTGGGTATGCGCAGTAGAGTTGGTGTTTCACACCAAGAGCGGATGGAAGCATTATGAACAAAGTGTGAACGATGATGGGATATACATCAGACGAAGAAGGAATACACGGACTTTAATTGTTACTGAAATGGCAAGTGTCCTCTTCTGAATCCTGCCGATCAATGAGCTGGTATGGATTCTGCCAATCCTCCATGACCTCAACGGTCGCATCCTTTGTCATGGCTAGATCCGCGATGAGATCAACCTTAAATCCTTCCAAACACCAGCAATTTTCAACAAGAGTTCAAAATATAAATATGAGTTTACTCTTCACACCAGTGGGAATCATGTCATTCAAATATCAATTAAAAATCTTTAGCCACTGTTTATCATCATGTTCAAGACACTCTTCCTCGCAGCCGCACTCGCTTCTCAGGGTCTCACTCGACCCACGACCGAGAACGCACGCGCAATCGACCCAAATCAAGTCTTCAACTCCCGAATGACCTGGTACGACACAGAGGGAGGCCTCGGCGTCAATCCTGGAGCGTGCGGAGAAGTCAACAACCGAGACCAAAAGATTGTGGCGTTGAATAAATTCCAATTCGTCGAGCTCAGCAACAGCGCCAACCCCAACACCGCTGAAGTGTGCCATAAAAAGATCCGCATCAAGCACGAAGGGAAGGAGACTGAAGCAGAAATCACCGATAGGTGCGATGGATGCAACTATGGCGATATCGATGGCACTCAGGCTGTATTTAATGATCTTGTTGGGGGGCTCGGGGCAGGAAATGTTTCGGTATCTTGGTCCTTTATTTGAAGGCTCCATGAAAGTGGCAAACATCTGTGATTATTTGTGATAGGACTAGGTTTAGAGGAGTTTCAAACAGAAATATATCGGACTTTCATTATGGAATGACACTTTTGTCGAGGTGTGACGTCGGCCATGGAATGTCGCGCGTAAAAGACGAACTACATTTCTAAATCAATAACTCGAGTCTCACACAGGCCAATAAATGGGAACGAACAAGTGAATGATATAGTTTGTGAAAGAATTCTGATGATTCAGTCCTCAAAGGCTACAAAGACAGGTGCTAAGAGCCACATCCGAGTAGGCGATCTGCGGTCGGTACTATCTACGTGAATGAATAGTCAAGAAAATGTGCTTGCAAAGCAGAACCATAATCCCAATCATCACTCAGCCCCCTGCATTGACCGCAGTGCTACCATTTCCCGGAACTGCTTCATTGCGACGAGCCTGCTCCCCTTATTGCTCTGTCATAGGAAGACAAACTATCGTCGCCAGCTCTGTTCAGTCTGGCAGTGGGAGTAATAGTCACGGAAATTGTCTTGGCGGCACGACCAGTATCCAGAATGAAGAGTTAGTCGCGCGGAGGCCAAGCAGGACAAGGCGTGTCAAAGCAGTCACATTTAGCCGCCAACAACGATCTGTGGAGATGTCTTGCATCACAGGAGAAAATCCATTCATCATTATATCGTCTCCATTCCTCTCTAACTCGCACCTTAACCGACTGGGTGGTCGCTGGCAGCGACATTGCACTGGTGCATCACTCTGGGCCCATAGGACTTTGGAAATTCCGTCTTGGAGTGCGAGTTAGTATGACATGTAGAGGAGGAATGGTGTTGGATACTCACAATACTATGCCACAAAGCTCTGTTGTACCACAAGATGACGTCTTGCTCCTCATGCCGGTGAGCATAGATATTCTCTGGGCTCAGCGTTGGCCGCATAAGTCTGGACAATGATTAGCAAAAAATTATTCATGTGTAATGGAACACATTCAAGACTGACTTATGCATGAAAGCGCGGACTTCTCGCAAGTCATCCACAATCTTCTCCTCCCCATCAGGCGAGTCCTTGAGGTGCAGCTTAAAGGCTCCCTGGCCATGTACCTGTAGAGACTTTTCGCCCGTCACGGGATTGGTCCAGACCATGGGGTAAATGGCCACCTTTTCCTTGTCCCACTTTGGTAGCTGATCGAGGGGCTTCTCCAGACCTTCGGTCTCGATGAGGTGGCCCAGTCGTGTAGAGTGCGCCGTCGACATCCAGACAAAGGCGTGTGGGGCGTACTCGATGCGACTGTTCATGACAAGATTGCGAGTCTCGTCGTCGAGCAGGGCCAGGGCGCGCGAGCCGGCCACCATGGCTGTGGCGCCGGGAGCAATCTTCATCTCTGTACCGGTCCCATCGTCCCAGCGGACCGTCACGTCGGGACCCTTGGGAGTCCGAACGGCCAGTAAGCAGCCGACGCGGGGCGGTGGGATGTTGTACAGGGAGCCGTCAAAATGCCACTGGTAAAAACGACTCGCTCCCTTTTCTCGCTCCTCGGCGGAGATGTGAGGGGGTAGATGGAATTCCTCGTGGTCAATGCCCTGCACCTCAAAGTCTGGTGGAAACGAGTAGTGGTTTTCAGGCAGCGCACCGCGGCCTAGAATATGGACTTGGGGTTGCACTGGGATTGCAGGCCGCTTGGGTATGCCGTAAATGTTGACTCCCTTGTGCGATGTCAGAAATGGATCGACACCATGCGCAAAGCCTCCAGTCGTCTCGTCCGGGTCGAAACTGTTCGTTCGCGTCAGCATGTACCAAGAATGAATCAATGCATGGCTGTCAATCACCTTGACGTTAACTTGTACTGTTGTTGCGGGCTCAGCATCTCAGGTTGCTGCTTAAACACTAGCAGTTTGTGACGGTGCAGTGCATCGTGAATAAAGTCAAAATCGGCGTCGGTGAAATTGTTCAAATCAATGCCATACACCTCGGCACCAAAATCAACATTACTGTCTTTGCCATGCTGGATTGGAACCGTCTTTCCGTTTGACGAGGTGGCATGCGGGAGGCTAAGTGAAGGCTTCTCCAGAACCAGTCGGAGGTCCTCCACCTCCTCCGTCACAACAGAGGCAATGACCATGATTGTGCTGCTGGATGATGCAGGACTTGAAAATGAGACAATGGTGTGTAAAAGTCCCGTGCGCCTACAGAGATGATAAAGAAAGCTTCATATATCAAATTTGTATCAACAAAATTTACGCGATCCTGTTTGATTGCGCTACAAAAAATCACTGTTTGATGGCTGACGCTTACACAGCGGCGGGTGGCCCTGCATCCAGTGAGCCAGTGCATCGTTAGTGGGCGTTCTCACTGTCCTCGGCCGAGGTGGGCCACTGCCCGTTATAGCACACTATACCCTCGGCCGACGGCTATTTTTCGAACCCAAGCAACGCGCAGCAGACAAACTTGCCTTGAAGTAGCAAAAGAGATTTTGACGATAGTCGAGGTATTCTGTCAAGAATATTGTTCTAGGTAACCAAAAACTCACCATGAAATCAAATTTTGTTTCAACCCCAGAAGGGACGAAATACCATTATCTCGAAGCCGGAAGCGAGTCGGGACCATTGATCATCTGCCTCCACGGACTGGGAGGATCCACGGATACCTTTACATCACTTGTGCCGCGACTACCAGACTCTTACAGAATCATTCTCATCGACTTCCCTGGCTTTGGTCAAAGTCCACCGCCAACCGAACGTCCCACGGTTGCAAGATACGTTGGTGATTTGGACCATGTCATTAAATCTTTACGCAAGGCCGACGGAGATCAGGTGAGAATTAGTGGCTGAATAAAACTATATTTGGACTTTGACACTTATATATAATGCATAGGTCATTTTGATGGGACACTCCCTCGGCACCGCCATCGCCTTGCACTTTGCCGCTCAAAACCCCTCGACCGTCGCCGGCCTCATTCTCCTCGGCGCCGCGCGCTCCGCCTCGCACATTCCCGCTGTACGGGAGCGCATGTCGAACATGGCCGCCAGCACGCGACAAAACGGCATCCAATGGGCCGCCGAGCTGGCGTCGCAGTCCAACTTTGCCCCCGCGGACAAGCGAACCGTCGACGCGGCCCTGCGCGCCGAAGTCGCCAAGGCCGTCGGCGCGTCTCATGTCGAGGCGTACGCCTTGACCTGTGAAATGATGGTCGACGAGTCGCACAAGGATCCCGAATATGCAAATATTACTTGCCCGACGGTCTTGGTTGCTGGAGACGTCGACGTGATCAGCCCGATTGAGCGGTCTACAGGATTGGCAAAGCTAATCGGTTCCAAAACATGTTGGGTAGAAGCAGTCATGAGTGGACATCAGCCCATTCTGGAAGACGTAGACGGTGTCGCGGGAGCAGTGGGGCGGTTGTTGCGAGAAATATAACTTTGATGCATTAAAATGAGCAAAAGTCTTGGTTCGCTAAATACAAGAGATTCTCAAAGCTCGTTCCATCAAATGCCGCATTTTCGTAAAAGTAGTCGGATGTATGCGGCTGCGACGGCGGATTCGTCGCCGCCGTCAGTTGAGTATTTGAAGGTGCCCGCGCAGCATTGTCTGAGCAAAAAGTCTTGACAAACTCGGCGACATTAAAGGTGCGCCTCCGCTTGTGAGACCGGACGATTGGCTCCACTGCGTCATCATCTGCACGTCGCTTCCTGCTTGTGTCGTTCCGGGCCGACATTGAAGCCACCTCAGTGAGCAGTGCCGAAATGAGCTTGACCCCTCTAACAGCAATCATACTGTTGCGGCACCTTTTGAGAATAAGCAAGACATCTTCTACTAATTGTAGGTGTTGCTCAGTTTCGGCAACCGGCTCCCCTCGGTGCAGAACATCAAGTATCAGGATGATGGAAGCAGCAACTGAAAATGCTTGGTGTATCCAAAGCACGGGACCGTCCTCTTCCACCGCGTTTTTGTACTCCTTGATTATAGTCTTGGAAGCGGCAAGACAGGTTCTTCGAGTAAATGCAAAGGCTTGGTTGGTAAAGCTCTCGGACAAGAAAGAGCGATGGATCATAATGATTTTATGCGAAGATGAAATGGCAAGTGACCGCCGTGCCCACGGTATATACGCGGGCCAAGTCGGGTCCAGTGGGCAACTCGACAAGTAAGCGGGTCGCGCATTCGTCGCCAGCGACCTCAATTGCTTGTCCCACTTCATGACTTGTTCATACCGGGTGAAAGGCGTATTGCAAGACATGAGCCCGTCCTGGAGCCGAGGCATGATGCCTGCGATCGTGTAAAGAAACCGTGAGTAGCCAGTGACGGTGGGTATAGAGTCCGGAAGTGCAAAAGACTCATTATCGTGGCAGTTCCTTGGCAGCTCTGACCGCGAGTATAGAGGATTGATCAGATACGTTTCTGAAAAAGGGAGACTGAACCAGTCCTGGCTACACAGCTGAGCCCAAACCCGACGACCCGCCTCCTTTTCTGTCTCGTTACCAGGTGTCTCTGATGTTAGGCGATGAAGCCCGAGGCTCTGAGCTATGCGAACTGCCGCGGCGAGGTGGATGGATTGCAGATTGGAAAAGCCGAGCATATGCGCAGATACTGTCAGAGTCGTGATGGCCTGGACTGACAGAATAGAGTGGTTGGCAGCATAGTCTGCCTTGTTGAGACAGGTGATAACGGCTTGAAACCAGCGTTTCGACAGAGATTCTCGCTCCTCGTCGGTGAATCCCCACTGCTCGGCTGTGCGGGCGGGCATACAGGTGATGCTTCCCGTGAGGACTGCAAAGAGGAATGCAACCCATTGCAGATTGACTTCTGGATGTTCTATGGAACCATGGCACCTGTCATAAAAGTTCTCTAGCTGTTTCTTGAGCGATGGTGCATAATATGAGCAGTGGTACCAGAGAAGACACTGCTCATGCCATAATACTAGATCCCACACCCTGCGCTTGTCCGGTAGCAAGAGCTGCAGCACGGCGGTGTGATTGAGATCATCAAATCCTATACCCTCATCATTTGGTGAATCTTCCTGAACGTGCGTGTCGCGAACATCACCGACATGAGGGGCATTGACCACGGCCTCGGGTGATGTGACAGTCGCATTCAAGTCTGGATTCTTCCGGCGGCCCCACGCAAGGAACTCTAGAATAGACGCCGCATCTTCCACAACCGTATCATGAGTGCTGTCCGAGTCTTGATTGCGACTTGGCGATGTCGGATCCGGGGCTACGTATGCATGACTGTCGCTCGGAGACGTCGGATCCGGCATCGAGGCCGGGGCTCGGTCGACTTGGTGATGCAGTTCGGCTTCGAGCTCGGCCACGCGGTGCCGTAGAATTGCAATCGAGTCATGCTGCTCCCGGGCCGAAACCGGCGAGAGTATATCAAGGTTGATGGATAGATCAGCTGCGTTTGGTGTAATGTTGCTTGCCTCTCCGGCGATTCTGCAGGCATTCTGCTCTCCTCTATACGTTGTGATCATCCCAATGTTAGCTCGCGCTGCTTCCCGAGGTCGTCCGAGGCACGGATATGATCCGCGCCCCGCTCCCGTGCAATTTGTATACTGAGACTTGCCTCCTTAAGCAATTAGTGCAAGGGATTGATTTGGAACACTTGACTTTGCGCCTTGTACACGCCGCGCAGGCCAAACGATTGCGAGCAGCGTTCATTTTGTACAGATCCGAGGCATGAAAGACCAAATTTCAATGTTGAACCCAAAGTTCTAGCCTGGCAAATCATTGGTGATGGCTCGGCCAGTGTTCGCACGGTAGGTACCAGGCCCAGATGCCAGGCCTTATCACAAGAGTTGCACCACCTGGGGCTAGCACTCATAGCACCTTATCTCCAGCTTCCACCTCCCCCACCAACCACCATACAGCGATTTGCATTGTCGTGTCACCCCTGCTATCTCTAGACCCCCCGTCGGGTCCAGCTTGATAACTCGAGATACCCAATCGTAGCCATGCTGACATGCTCCGATAGCTTCGAGGCATGAAGATACCAAGATGCAGGTTGCTATGTGGCAGTATCTTGCGACGCGAAATGGTCATATACTTCCAATATGCCGGCAGTTGTTCTCCACAGGGAAGCTGTACTCCCAAAAGGTCGGGTGCACCCACGACCTTTCCTCTAGTCGATTGCAGAGTCTCGATCGCCACTGATAGTTCTCATACCTCAAGATGGGCATGAAAGACGCATTGCAAGGCGGCAAGGCCCATTTACATGCGGGCCGCGAAAAGCTGCACCTGCGTCTCACGGAGCCGAGCAGCTGGAAACTCCCGAAGCAGCACAGCAGTATCGCACCTCCGGACGTCTGGACCAATGCCGACCAGGACCCGGTGCCTCCAGAGAAGCTCACATGGACACAGTGGACGTTTGTCACCTACTGGCTGTCCGACCTCGTCACCATCTCTGGTTGGGAGGCCGCAAGCTCGATTGTCACGACTGGACTCTCCGCCACCGACGCCGTGCTCATCACCTTGGTCGCCGGTATCTGCAATGCGATACCAACTGTGTTGAATGGATGCATCGGCGCGGATCTACACATTCCCTTTCCCATCGCAGCCCGTGCTAGCTACGGATATTGGCTGAGCTATTTTTGCGTCATAAGCCGTGGTATACTTGCCCTCTTCTGGTTCGGTGTTCAGAGCGCAGGTGGTGGAGACTGTGTAACTGCTGTACGTATGGTTGCTTTGAGAGATTGTAAATGGTGCGAGTGCTGACAATCTTGCTAGATGATCACTGCGATATGGCCGAGCTACCAAAGCGTACCAAACCATCTGCCCGAGTTTGTTGGCGTGACGACGCAAGGAATGGTGTCGTATTTTATTTACTGGCTTATTCAATTCCCTCTGCTGCTCATTCCAACCCACCGGCTTCAATATCTCTTCAACGTCAAGGCATGTCTCGCACTTCCCATGGCCCTTGCCATGGTGATTTACTTGTCTGTAAAAGCCGGAAGTAGCTCGAATGAGTTCTTCACTGCACCAGCTACAGTCCATGGCTCTACAAGGGCTTGGTTGTGGCTATCGAGTTTGGTATGTCTTCGATGATAGCTTCATTCCATCACTAAGTTAACCAGCATACCAGACATCTGTGATCGGAGGCTATAGTACCCTCGCAGTCAACATTCCCGATTTCTCCAGATTCAGTCGGAGCAACAGAGATCCGTGGTGGCAGTTGCCCATTATCCCGTTCTTCAAGACCATAGTTGGCGTCCTAGGAATTGTGGCAGCCAGTGCATCTCAACAAATTTACGGCACGGCCCTGTGGAACCCTCTGGACATTGTGAACGAGTGGCAAGGAACGCCAGGCGGTCGCGCCGCTGCCTTCTTCTGCGGACTGATCTGGCTTCTGGCCCAGATCAGCGTCAACATCAGCGCCAATGCCGTCTCCTTTGCCAACGACATCACGACGCTGGTGCCCAAGTGGTTCAACGTCCGTCGCGGTACCATTTTTGCCTCCTTTATCGGCGGTTGGGCCCTTTGCCCGTGGATCATCATGGCGTCGGCGTCGTCCTTTTTGAGCTTCATGTCGGCATACGCAATCTTTATGGCTCCCATTGCCGGAATCCTGGTGACCGATTATTGGCTAATCAAGCGTCGCAAGTACGACGTTCCCGCGCTGTACGACCCCTACGGCATCTATCGGTTCGGCTGGGGTGGCAACTGGAGAGCCCTAGTCACCACGTTGCTTGTCATTGTCCCGCTGCTGCCAGCGCTGGCACATAAGGTGACGCCAAACAGCGTACACATTAGCACGGGGTTGCAAAACCTGTTTAGCTTCAATTGGCTCTACGGATTTGTAGTGTCAATTGTCCTCTACTACGTGCTCAATGTTATTTTCCCCCACCAGCCGACGCTGATTGACAAAGTGGTTCCCGGGTATCCATATACGATTGAGGGGATCGTGGCGGATACGGAAAGCCAGAATTCGACAAGAGAAGCCAAGGATGAAATGCCACAGAAAGATGGACATGGCCCGAGATATTCTGAAGCACAAGAAGTCATTGGTTCTGCTGTGGCTTAGGGCGCATCACCAGTCCCGGCCTTTCCCTAGCATGGTGCAATAGGGGTCTTTTGGTGCATTCCCGGCTAGCTGGGGTCTCTGCGTCGGACTTTGTATAGCCTGCAGCTGTTTATAGCACAGGCTTTAATCAAATTGGACTATTTTTGACAATACCAACAACAATACAATTGATCGCAAAGAAGCCGAGCATTATAGCTCTTCAATCAGATTGCCGAATTAGATTTTAGCATGATCCAAACTCCAGAGTACATGAGACGAAGCGGATCGTGTATAAAGAAAAAAACATCAAGTTCACCTAGTACCCAATAATGGACTTAGCTAGGGCGGTCAAGAAGAAGATCGACAATCATGATAAAGATTTGGCCCACTCATCGCGGCTTTTGTGACAGAATAAGACTCGTTCCAGCTCCAGATCATTGCAATTAACCGCAACGGTAGCTAGTGAAGCCTAAAAATACGGCCCCCACGTGCACTTTGATGCCACAAGCGATCACAAATGAGGGTCAACTATCGAAAACCACTCCACTGACGAGATCGTCGGTTGAAGTGGATTTTACTCAAAAGCTGCCATCAACAAAATGCGAGATCAGTGTGCGAGCATTGAATGCGAAGCCAGAATGCGAGATTGCACTTTTTTTTTTTACCAGTCACCACGTTGATGACACTCGTAACGGGTACAAGATCGTAGCTGCGTGAATATGGCTTCTAGGATATTTCCGATTGTCTGACATATATAAAGCATCAACGATTCGATCAGAATTAGCAGACAGAGATAGAAACATTCATTCCATCAAGCCAACTCTACTCACCTCCATCTCACCAAGAAACAACTATGCAGCTCCTACGATTCGCCGCCCTACTGCCCCTGGCTTCAGCCGCCGCTGTCGCAACCAGTCAGCTCGACAACCTAGACACCTTGGCCAAGCGGAGCAACTTCATCACCGTCAAGTACTCCATCGACAATGACAACTGCTACGTGGTGCTCGACGCCTGCGGCTGCAGCACCAACGTGGTCGTGGGCAGCGGCTACTGCAAGAACCTGAGCGGCGACATTGCCAAGTCGCCGTGCGGCGGCGACCTGACCCTCGGCGATAACGGCAGTACTTGGACCTTTGACTACATAACCAGCGACAACAATTGTGCGGTCGGGTGTGACTTGGCCAAGCAGAATGATGCGGGTTGCTCGGCTTAGGATGCCTCGGCAGAAAGGTGAGCTTCAATGGTGATGCAATATCACTGCTGATGACTGATCATTTGCGCGACAGGAAACCTAAGTAGCTATGGGACTCAAGAAAAGCATGCATGTATTGTAGCAATGCGCCTTTGCCTTCGAGGTTCTGACCAACGTTTAAGAAAATTCGTGTAAGGGAGTGGGGATGAGTGATGGAAATGTGAGACCAGATCGAGCACTATGGGTTTGTGTTGAAGTATATGTACGAGTATCACTTTCCAATTGATTATCTAATTCTATCTATTCTATCTTGTTCTGTCCAAGCAGAGCTCCCGATGTTGCGTGCTGCAAGTGAGATCAGCTAGCCAATTGCGTTGGCCACCAAAAAATGGCCAAGCCCAAGTGTAAATATGAAATCACATCTGTCATCCGAGGCTCTCTGCGCAGAAACGTACTGCAATATTAGATTCGGTGGGGGCGCAAGTGCCTGAGTTCATCCATGGTCATCAATAATGTAGCACGGATGGTTTCTAGATGCCTTTGAAAGGGTATTACCCTCTATCTGGCCAAACACTCGCAGCAAAAGCATCGTAGCTTTTGAAGAAATTAGCTATTGTCATCACTGTGAATGTAGCCACTTTCATCCAGCTATTATGCCCGCATTTCTCTAGCGCGTTGTATGTACCACTTTGAAGGAATAATGCCTGGCTAGACGATTTTCTCTTCATCACTGCGCGGTATAGTGGTTGTTCGCATCTGGATAATATTCCTTTAGTTTTCAGCATCTGCCTCGGAGCCAGTATCCCAGCTGGTCTTATACGCTCCTACCCGACCCTCGATGCCACCGCCGTCGGGCCGATCAAGCCGCAGCTCGCGTTCGTTGCCCTTGTAGACTTCAGGTCTGATTCCCAAGTCCGCTGAGTTTTACGCGAAGTATCAGATTTGTGAAATCAATTGGAAAAAGAAGAAAGAGATACCCAACATTTGCGTATAGTTGAACACAACTCATATCTTGCACACGCCGGATCAATTTTGATCATTCTAACCCTTATGGATCTTCGAGTTCCGTTACACATCATGGGGCAGGGTCACAACAACCACATGACGATGAGAGGTGGCAACGAGCCGGAAAGCGAAGAATCTCGCGCTATTCCGGGAGTGGGTGGGCCGTGTGTGCTACTCATTAAGCCCCCCGCATCCTTGTTAAGGACGCGATGCAACGCACTGAGATGGACTTTGGAGTCTTTCAGCGGTTCGAATATTCCACTCATCAGCCTTTTCTCGGCCCGTTCGCTCGGCCCGCTTGGTGCTATGTGGTATCTTGACTAAGCAAGACCGTTTTGGAACTATAATTGGTCCTCGATTTCCTATTGGTCATCCTTGCACCTGGTTAGCAAAGGTGGATGTCTATAGAAGGTATCATAAAGACGCAGCGAAAAGAAAATGTTCTTCTGCCACCAAAGTCTAGATTTTCGGGAAATTCTTAGCAAAAAAACATAGAAATTTGTGATGCATGCAGGACCGAAGAACACGCAGTACACGGAACATCTAGGACATGGCATGGATGTGGATCATCATTTCCCCAACCAGTCGCTCCACCGTTGCCGGGAACAGGCCGCGGACCTGGCCTGGCTCGTTCTTCTGGGCGGCCTACAGCGCAACGATAACCAGGGGCGTGTTCTCTCTCATCGTGCGATACCGAGGCAACTTTCAGGAATGATGCTCCGGTTTCCGCTTTTGCGTTGTGATTTCTCCAGCATAACGGCAACGTTGAAAGCTACATAGTACAGCTTGTCGGGCTTTAAGTTGCTAGGAATCGCGGCTGCTTGGCATTGGCTTTCCCCTTTGTCATTGCAAAAACGCTGAGGGTTTTTCATTTAGCGCTAGATGCGACTCTGAATAGTTTCGCTAGTGATTCAAGACGGAGCAACTTTACTCATCCATTTTATCCAGTTTATGCTACGTAGTTCTTGCACTGTCGTTGATCGCACTCCCAATCCACCGCAATGGTTGTCACCTCGAGTAGGATCGCAGCGCTTGCTGCTATATCCCTGTTTGCATCAGCGGTGAACGGCACAGAGGCAACAACTTCGCAATGTGTACGTCGATACCTCGCATCTCGCGCCTCTGTCCGCATTGAAAAACTGACAGTATTGTTTAGTGCGATGTACTCAGTGAGGCTGGTTTGGACTCAAAACTTCACCTCCCAGGAACATCAACCTACGAGAACCGCACAACTACATACTACTCGAGGAGCAACTTTCTGCATCCTCAATGTCTTGTTCAGCCAGAAAGCACCACTGATGTATCCAAAATCATACAAGTTTTATCCGCCAATAAATGCTTCTTTGCAGTCCGCAGCGGAGGGCACACGCCCAATGCTGGTGCCAACAACATAGATGATGGCGTCACTATTGATCTCAGTAATGCTGCCGAGTAATCCGATTTGTCTCGAAAAAAAAAGTCTCGGCTAACCTTCCATGCATAGGCAATATGAACACGACAACATATCACGCAGAGAACAGTACTGCGTCAATTCAGCCAGGTTCTAGATGGGGTCAAGTTTATCGCACGCTGGAGGGACAAGGCGTCACGGTAGCAGGAGGCCGCGCTGCATCTGTCGGTGTCGGCGGTTTCATCTTGGGAGGCGGCATCTCGTACTACTCAGCAAAGAAGGGACTGGTGTGCGACAGCGTCCACAGGTACGAAGTCGTGCTGGCCAATGGCGATATCGTCTATGCCGACAAGGATCACCATTCCGATCTCTTCACGGCGCTCAAGGGCGGCTCGTCAAATTTTGGAATCGTCACTCGCTTTGATCTCGAGACCTTCCCGGCTACGCCCATCTGGGGAGGCGCCGTCATGTACCCGACAGTCGTGGGTCCGCAAATGATTGACATCATGTCCTCATTCACGCGCGGAATCGACGACGACCCGGCAAGCTCTTCTATCCTGATCTGGTACTACTTGCCCGACTTTAAGGATACCTTTCTAGTGGCCGCGTACGAAAATAATGAAGGTGTCGCCGAGGCGCCAACCTTTAAGGACTACTTGGCAGTCCAACCTCAAATCACTTCGACTACTCGTATCACAAACTGGACTAGCATCACTGAAGAACTTGTGGATCAGGATGGCCTGGAGTGAGTATACGACTGAAAGTCATGAGAATGCAGACATTGACTCATTGGTTGCAGAAAAGCATGGTTCACATTGACTTTCAAGAACGACGTGCGTATAATGCAAAAGACTGTGGAGCTCCACGCCATCTTGATGGAAGAGATGAAAGCCATTGCAGGTGACGATGGTTTCACCTCCATGTGTGTAAGTTTTTAAATTGCTTGCGCGAGCCCAGCATGTTGATACCGACCATGTACTAATGATTGCACTACCTCGATAGATGCTTCAACCTCTGCCCGCCTCGCTAGGCAAACATGCGGTAGCCAAGGGCGGCAACGTACTCGGCCTTGAGAGAATCGAAGAGAATGCTATTCTTCTTCTCGCGACACTTGGAACGACAGATCCTACATTGGCTACGCTTGTTGAACAGAAGGTGCAGGACTGGGTCAAGTAAGCAAACCTTTCCTTGGTGAACCAAACAGCTCAACTTTTGCCCTTCATCCCACGTGAAATCGGGGCCACCCCATTGGCTCCAACGGCTCAGTCACTAACCAATAAAAGTGCGGTCGAGGCCTATGCAAAGTCCCTGGACGGTGATATTGAATACCGATTCCTCAACTATGCACACGGCAACCAAAACCCCCTTGGTAGCTACGGATCAGACAACGTCGCCAAGATGAACAAGGTGGCAGCAAAGTACGATCCCGACGGCGTTTTCCAACAGCTTCTGCCCGGTGGATTCAAGATTTCTCACGTAAATGACAACGACGACACGCCCGCTAGAGATGAGTTATGATAGGTAGTCTTGCGCAGAGTCAAGCAAACAATGATTTCAGCCATGTCAGCCATGTGAAATGTAGACAATTATTAAATTTACATATCTGATTAGAGGGCAATGTGTACAGGGCAGCGCATCTAATTTGGTGATACTTTTATTCCTCCTTCGGACCCGGCAGCACGAAGAGGG